CCGCCTTTGTCGGGCACGACAGGCTTGGTCTTCGCTTCGGATTTCTCCGATGCGGCGGGTTCCTCGATGTGGGCTTGCCCACGCTCCAACGGCACAGGATCATCTCGTGTCCTAGCACTGGCAACAGGTGGATGAGATGCAGGGTCTTTCAACAACCTCATCGGGAAGATGAACTCATCAGTCGGAAGCTCAATGCGCTTTGTTCGCTGTACCGTGAGGGACGCATGTTCGATATGGTAATCGAGCCCTTCTAGTTTTGCAACGAGGAACTCACCCTTCCATGCGAACCCAGGCTGAATATGGTACCCGAGAAACACGCCTTCATTCGATGTTGGCGAAGTCTTGCCTGCCTGATTGTCAGCTCGTGCAGGGTTGTTCCAGAACAGTACCTTTGCTCCGAAAGGTATCTCAGCTTCATCAAAGGTCTTATTAAACCTGAGGTACCATGGCGAATCGTTTCCATTCAACTGTGGCAGGATGTTAGTCGCAACTGCATTTTGCTGGATGGCAAATGGCCACATCGACAGTGGGAACCCTAACTGAACAAGGTTCGCACGTGCTCCCTCCAACAGATGTCTGATTTCCCTTTCCACGAAAGATTTGGAAGAATCAACATATTCAATGGAGGTCTGATGACGGTACCCCAACTGCTCTATTGCGGCTTTCAATTCCCGGGAGTTATCAGTGTAGAGAACCTCAACCTCATCCCTACCGGAAATGAAATGCTGGATCCCTGCAACGGATTGCTCCGTGCTTTTGCTGGTCGACGGGTAAACGTACCTGAACTGCGTATGCACGTCCTTGATCACAAGAGCACACCATTCACCTTTAATGCCTTGCTCGATGTTGGCCTTGAGAATCACATGATCAGCAATGATGTGATCTCCAAACGCTTTCGTCTCGAGCCTTCCCTGCCCGCCTTTCGATCTTGCATATGGGGCAAGCATCTTGGCACGTTGGCAAGTGCGGCAAAAGGGATTCTTAGGATAGTGTGCAAACAAGTGCTCTTTGGTACCTGCTTCGGCAACCAGATCTTGCTCTTTGCGGGATCTCACGAACCGCTCAACTTCATCGTCGGGATCATCACCTTCGTCGATGCCTTCGTCATGAACCGGCGCAGGCGCTGGCTTGGATGCTGCTACTGCACTCAACGATGGCTCAGCTTCACAGCTAGAATCCATATATGGCACATGACCGTCAACCTTGAGCTGGATCAGAGCACCATCAGGGCGAACCATGGTTGGCGCCTTCCCGGATTCCCAATGAAAGGAATATCCTTGATCCAGACACTTCACACCCAGCGACAGCACTGCGGGAGAACTCTCGAGGATGTAAGGCTGAGCAGGTTCACACAATGCATCGACATTGATGTCGGCGATTTCGGAAGCAGTGATGTTTCCGTTTGCAGTCACAAGGCGAATAGGCTGTGGAGCCTGTTTTCGGATTGCCTTGGACGCATTCCTCAGTGCAGCTTTGCTGATGAGGTCCTGCTCACTACCGGAATCAATGAGCCACACATCCTTTCCCTTTGGGGCAGGGGTGGCTGCCCTTGGCGCTTCGACATCCTTGCGAACATCGTTAGGTGGCATGGCAACTCTCAGGCACTCATCACATGATAGGCTTGAGATGGAATCGGATTCCACATCGCACATGAAACCACAAGCGGGCTGGGCTCCATTATCCATGGCTTTGACTACGGCATTCAACTGGTTCGCGGCCTTGCGCGCTGCCTTGTTAGTCCCTTTGGTCGGCCTGGGGCAGTCCTTAGCACTCGGGAACATCCTGTTGTACTGCCGTTCCTCATACTCAAGCTTGAAACCATCGCCTTCGGCGGGGATCTCATGCACGTGAGCATTGGTGTCGAATGACACTCCGATTGGATCAATCGGCTTTGCGAACATGGCGTACCTGGTGCAGACTGCAGCGGCTTTGGCCTTGGGCTTAGGCTTAGGTGAATTTGCACGCTTCTTAGCCGCAGGATTTGCATTGGCCTCGCTGCTCGATGCCGCGGCGGCAGATTTGCCGCCCGTGGAGGCATGGCTAAACTTGCATTTGTCACCTCTAGTGCACTTCCCTTGGGCAAAGAAAGAACACGGTGCTTTCTCTCCTTTACCGCCTTTGGGGGAACTTGGCCTGCCACGGGTCGCGGAGCGTCCTCGCGGCTCCTTGCGGTGCGCGTAAGGGCAGTTTGCCCCCCTCGTGCACGAGCCCTTCTGGAAGTCAAAACAGTACTTCTCCTCGGTGTCCTTCGGCTTAGGTGCGCTCTTTTTCTTGGGGTCCCTCTTTTCAGGGGCGGCAGCACCAGCCTTGGGCGTCGGGGCTTTACTGGCATTGACCTTGGACACGCGCTCTCGGTTCTCGCGAAGCCTATCCCTCTCGATTAGATCCCTCATGCAACGCATTAGGAAATCGTACGATTTATTGGGATCATCATCACGGCAACGATCATATGTGTCGATGTCGTACCGCAACAGATGGCAGCTTCTCACTTGGCGAAGCAAGATGTCTTTCAACACCTTTTCTTCCGGCGGCTTTTTCATGCCGGCGATCACGGAATCCCAAGCATTCAGGAAACGCTTGAGATCGATGATTCCTTCGCCGTGTCGCGAGACACGCAACAGGTCCTCCAAGGAGTAGAGGTTTCCGGCTTCTTCACTGGTCTTGAAATATTGGTCAAACATAAACAAGACCTGCCTTCCTCTCATGGCCTTTCCCTCCTTGGCACATTCTTCCTTTGCTGTTAGGATTCGCTGAGCCAGATCGCCTTTCGCTGAACGCGTGAGCGCTGCGAGAATCTTCGTGTCTAGGGTCACGAATTTTCCCGGTTCGCCGAGCTCCTCCAACATCTTCTTCTTGTCCTCGCGATCGGACCAGACTTCCATGATCCAAGGCCAAGCCTCGTCTGGACGGTCAGATGCGGCGCGGACATCCTCACGAACCGATGTTTTCCATTCACGGTACGTTTCAGGAGTTGGCATCTCCTTGAATCGCAACGTCTCGCTTTCGCGGGTTCTGGGCTTTTCATCGTTCGTTTGGCCTTTTACTAACTTCATCAACATCTTGGCGAATGCTTCATTGCCGAGGTTGGGCCCGAGGCCGTCACCATCATCTTCGTCACCATCGCCATCGCCATCATCATCAGGTGGCGGACCGCCAGGAGGCTTGCCACCCTGCTTGCGGTCAGTTGACATTGGCCCCTGAGAGAATTGCAGGGGTGGAACCGGTGCACTTGTTTTCACCGGGGATCGGCTGCTACCTGATGGCTTTTCAGCTGGTCCTTGCGGATCGCGAGCATCTGCGGGCAGTGCTTCGCATTCGGCAGTTGGAATCACGCTAGGGGTATATTCATCCCCGTAACCGTCATAGGTAACAAGCGACCTCAACTTTTCCTTTGCATATTGAAACGGATGGGTGAGCGGGTCCAACATTGACCTTTGGGACCGAGCTGACTTCATGTCGTCGGTCATCAACTCTGGTGAATCCTCTCGGGTATCACCTACCCCTTTGGGCTTCGATCCATCCTCGCGGAGGTCGTGTTGCTTCTGATACTTCTTCAGCTCATCGAGCTCGTCCTGCAGAAGCCCGTTTTGGTGGGCCATCATGTCAACCGTCCTGGCGTGTGTCGCCTCAACACGGGCTGTGTCATCGGCGTGCTTGGCAGCTTGCTCATGAAGGAGCTGCTGGGCTTCCGCCAGGGTGGATTCGATGGCTTGCCTAAACTCAGTTGTTTTGCGTCCCATTTCCGCTTCATGCAATGCTTGGGCATTTTCCTCACACACTTGGCTTATCCTAGCTTCAGCGAAGTTCACTTCTTGAGTGAACTCATCGCTCACTCGCTGTTCGTATTCACGAATCCTATGCGACTGGGCTTGCACACATTCAGCGTAGTGTGCATGCAGCTGATTTTGTGCGGCACGGAGCTCCTCACGGTTTTCCGCTTGCAAATGCGTTACAGCTGCTTGATGCAGGGCTTCGGCTTCAGACCTAATGGCTGCATCATTCCCAAAAGCAAAGATTGCGGTATTGTACAGTTGAAGGGAATTCATCAGGGTGCGGTTGTATTGCGCATTAGCGCTTGATGCGAACATTCGCACACCGCCGCCGGTGGCGTTGCCGGAGCTAGCTCCGGCAGCATCCACGGGCATGCTGGATCCATCAACTGGCACAAGGGAACCGTCCATTGCTTAGAGCTAGGGGCCTACGGCTGATAACCTATAAATTCAAGGGTTACCGGTTTGGGGCCCAAAAGGAAACAACAAACCGTCCAAGTGCGCTGCTCGCACATTTTACGCTTGAACAGCCACACTGCGGATGCAATGGATGTAAAACCCCATACTGACCGATCAAATTCTTCACACACACTTTACCAGAATCCTCATGAAGAAAGGTGGTCCTGTGGATGGACGAAATCCTGCACCACTTTGAAACCATGGTTGGGAAACCAGTGTTTGTTGGTATTTGGAGGGGTGTCCTCAGGAACTGTTGGGTTTCTGAACGGTGGTGCATGGATTTTGCAACCATCCACAGCACCCCTTAGTCGCCTGGGCAGAAGTTTTGGGCGTCTTGAATATAACGAATGGGTCCTCAAAACGGCCCTCTCCGAGTGTCAGGGTGTCCCAAAGTTCAGCCAAAGCAAGGTTCCTCCAAACACCATGGAAGTACCCGCGACCCCCAAATGGCCCAACTTGCAACTGCTTTTTCGGATTTCCCTTAAGGTACGGTCATCAAACTGCAATTCTTGGTGGGTGCTGCTAGGAATTTGAGCGCTTTGTGATGCACCCACAACAAAGGGACCGAGCAAGTGCTGCGTGAGAAGCTCCAAATTGCGCCGCGGCATTGCGGGCTCAGGCTTGCCTTTGGCAACCTGATGGCTTGCTTCATTTACCTCGTGGTCAAAGCTGCCCATCCGCCTTTAACTCCTGATGACTCTGGGCCGTGTCCCCGCAAGGAAGCTCTTGAGCACTTGTCTGAAATGCGCACCCCTGCTCATTCAGCAAACAGGGCTGTTTGACCATCAATGGTATGTTTGAAACTGCCTGAAGATATTACATGCCCCCTGCTTCACGCTCACTGGGTCGTATCTGTTGGCGGAGCCTCGCCAGGGTCGAACGAATTGCCAGCCGCGCCAAGTCAAGGGACCGAGGCCCGGTCCCTTTCGGAGCAAAACTGTTCAAAACACAACAACCCACATGGCAACGATGGGAGGCCCAAAGACATCTCTGATGTCAACAAAAACTTGGGAGGTCGATCTCGGCTTGAAGCCCTTGAATTGCCGTGACTGCAGGTTTAGCCCCGAGCTGAGGTAAATCTGAATGGGGCATTGGGGCATGTCCATTCCCCCTTTCCATCCTTATGGAGCCGTGAGGTCACCCGCGCTCATGGTTTCCGTTATTTGGGTAAAGATGTGTGAGCACCCGCAAGCATCATACGCTTGACCTGTTCCATTCTTGTTTTCTGGTTCTTTGCAGGACGTGGGCGCCAACTGCCCGTGGCATACAAAGCTCAGCGCCAGATGTCAACTGTGTGCCACGGCCGGAAATTTGCACAGCTGTTGCCAACCTCTCTTTCCTCACCCGATGGGAGCAGACGCCCGGCATCTACTCTGCAACGCGCGATCGCTTTTCTGGGTTGCTTTCCCCCCCTCCCCGCGCAAAAAGGGCGGGGGAGAACTTTCGCAGGTTGAGTGGGGAGGCCAGAAGGCTTCCAAAGACAAAGGTCCAAGGGGCGATTTCGGTCCAAAGACCAGTTCGGCTTTGAGTCTCCATGGCGAAACGGGTCGGGATCTCTATTAGGATTGGGACCCAAAGGCCCAAATTGTCAGGCACCTAGACTCGGGTACCAACATATTTTGCCCCGGGCCCCGAACATGTTCAGGTTTCACACTTCAGCTCTCTAATCAGCAAGCCGACCAAAGAGCTACACAGCAAGCCCTACCCAACAACTCAACCCAAGGCACAAAGTTGAAGAACGCTCCAAACGAAACCGCTCAAACCAAAATGACCCGATGCAACCCATCCGACCGCGTCCCAAACTGGGTGTCACGCAGCGTGCTTGGACCAATATAAAGCGTGATTGAACTGTTTTGCGCTTCCGCTTTTTCGAGCAACACGGGATCTTCCCAACCCTTATCATGTTTGCAAAACTTGCTTCTTTGTGCTTCTTCCGCATTTCGCCCCCCCTCCCCCCCACCAAACAAGAAAACCATGAACAGGACCAAAACCACAACTTATCAACACCGCCTCCCACTTCCCCAAATGCCGCTCCCGGTCTCGTTTGCCCAGCGCGCCTCGGGAGTTTCCGCCGAAGCCGCCGCGGAAGCCCCGGAAGCCCCGGAAGCCGCCGGTCCCGCCGCGGGTTCCGCCGGTTCCGCCGCGGGCGACGCGAAGTCCTGGGCGAAGTCTTTGAAGGCGGGGTCCACTTTCACGTCCAGCGGCTCCCCCGCAGACTCGGAGAACGGGCGGAGGCCGTCGAGTCGAGAGGATTCTTGGCGCAACGGTGGCTCGTCTCTTGTGGTTTTGGGGAGCCCCCGAAATTTGGAGGCCGGTGGTTCTTGCAGATTTTTTGTGAAACTAACACAAAGGGGGGGGCCCTCCAAAAAAGGACTAGCTCCCAAAGGCTGCTTCTTGATACTTTCAGCTCCGAGCCCGGCTCCGGGAGCTAAGCACCAGTTCGCCACCAGCATTTTTTGACTGGCGGGTGCCATAGGGAATGCGTTGGAATGAACATGAACAAACTGTATAAGCCACCAGTTGTTTTTGACACTACACCAGTGGCAGGTACTTGTGGCTTGTCATTCAAAAAAAAAAAAAGAGATTCCCGAATCAAGGAAACCACCCGTGGCTTGCCGGGTGCGCACGTGCGCACCGTGGAGTGGTGCTCGCATGGTTTTATGAGTAAATGGTCCAGGCCTTTGGTTCGCGTCGGGAGGGGAGGAGGTTGAGGGGGGGCAGAACCGGCGAGAGGCCATGTCTCTAGAAAACACTTCCATTTCCATTCTTTCCAGGAATCCTCCTTTCCGGAAAACCATCAGAACCCCAGGGAAAACATCTGTTTTTTGGCAAGAACGATGGTTCAACAGAATGGACAAGGAATCAACCCCTAGATGCTTTTTGTGGCAAATAAGAAACTTGCTTTCCTTTTTTTGGGCCAATCATGGCCAATCGGAAGTGAGAAAAACGCCCCATGTCTCATTCCCTATCGCGCCAGCATGCAGAAAAATGGGCAGCCCAGGCGCCGTGTCGGGCTCCGGGACCCTGGCTGCCGCGCGGGGCCCTACGTCTCGAGCGGCTCACGCAAGGCGCGGCCCGATCAGAATGATCAGAAGCCAGTGGCAGGCTCGCAGACGCCGAAAATGCCGACCATACTGTGGATGGACGAAATCCTGCAGCACCCAAGCTGAAATGATGATTCCCCTGTAAAAGCCAATGGTTTTGAAGTGGTGCAGGATTCCGTCCATCCACAGTAGAACTCGACAAGGCGGCTCCAAGAGGAGAGTCCTCTACAAGAGTGGTGAGTCTTTTTGATGGTTCCACGTCCATCTGCGGGAGACTACCGCTGGAAAGGACACCATATGTAAGGCTCATTGAAGGTTCACAGGATCCTTGCGCCAACCTCTCCGCACGCCGCGTGAGTAGGGGAATAACGGAACAACCAAAGGCCCCTCACAACACAGCAAAGCTTCTTACAACCTTTTTGGAATCGCAGAAGGGTTCTGAGAATCATTCCGGTGGCCCATTAAAGTGTCACGACTAAACTCATGCGGATCACGAGCGGTTGAAACCGGAAGGCAGCTACGCCCCCCCTTCCATACTTGATGGAAATCAATCACAAACCTAGGGCACGATTTGGATGCGCATTATATGCACCCAACCCTGGACGGGTCAAAAGGCAAGGCAAAAGGGCAACCCTAGACTTTGCAGAGCAGTAGGGTAGAACAGCCTGGGCTTTTCCCTCACACAAGGCCTGCAGGCCTGCAGGCCGCAGGGATATCGAATGCAAGTTGATTGAAACAAATACGGGCTATCCCGCATTACAAAAAGCCGACGTTGAATGAAACAGACCATTTGGCGGCGGCTTTTGCAGTGATTGTTGCATGGGAAGCCCAAGGCACAACTACACTTGGTTGCTGTTGACCCCTCTGCAAAAAGTGGACAACTTTTGCGGATTTAGTGGAAAACACATTTCTTTCCCAAAAAGTTAAAGTCTAAAGATCCAACCCAATAGCAGTCAAGTACAAACACGGCATTTTTCATCAGGGAGGGGGGGTCCCCTATTTTGACACGTAACCAATTGGCCCCGCCTTCTGCCAGCACTGGCGACATGGAGCCTCGCTCGCGGCCAGACCCGGGACCCAATTCCATTTTCCCGTCTTCCGCATAAAGGGACATGAAACCATACATGGAATTTCAGGGGAGGGGGATCTATCTGGCGCAGAGGTCCTCTTAAAGATGTTCGAAGAGATGGCGACATGAAGCTTTAGAGGATTGTGCAAGGTTCTGAGGGCACTATAAGGACTAAACAAATTCAAGGGACTCCCGCCGCAGCAAAGACAGTCGAGCAACAAATCAAGATGAGTGCCAGAGACAAACAAGCTTCGTTTCAAACATCCAGGCCACTGACCCTGTTCATGGGAAACATACCTTCTTTTTTTTCTTTTTTATCAGGATGCTTAACCAGTCGTGGCTTCCTGCCACGGCATTGACGGGCTTCACAAGCCGCCCTAGCTGAAGAAAACCCAAAAGCTCTTGCCACAAATCCATTGCGCAGCCCATCGAAATGCTTGTGCATTCAAGCAGCCAAACAGACTTGAGCGGTATTGATACAAGTATGCCGCGGGCTTCAGATGCCGTTGGACCCCATTCGAGGGCCCAGAAAAGAAAGGGCAACACACAAATACCTAAATCCGCCGACTGCCTCCCGTCCCAGCCTCCTGCAGAATGAAGTGATTGGAATCCATGATGATTTTTTGGTTTCTGGGGGACACGCCCGAAAGCACAAAAGTGGATTCCCAGGACCGGTCCTGACCGGTCCCGGACCGGTCCCGGGACCGGTCAGGACCGGTCCTGGGACCAGTCCTGGGACCGGTCCTGGGGCCCTGGTTGGTGCTTCGCATTGCTTGTCATCAGCCAAAACCGGTCCTGGGACTGCTCCGGGACGGTCGTTTTAGGACCGGTCTGGATGTCGGCTCGAACAGGACCTGGTGCCACCTCAAACCGCTCCAGACACCTGTTTCCTCCAATGTCGCTGTTTCCGGACTGGCACCCGTGTTTCAGGACCGGACAGGGTCCCAAGTCCCGGTCTCTGCCTGCGACCGGTCGAGGGGCCTTGTTTCTAGGACCACTCCCGGGCCAACTCGACGTGACTTGGGCGCAAACCGGCCCGTGCGGTAATTGACGGACGAGCTGCCATCTTTCTGATTTTTCCGTTAATCCTTGTGGTAGTAGAGGATCCCTGGATCCATTCTGCAAGAGAGTCCAATACGTCGATTCAAACCGCGCCAGACTGGGACCAGCCTGGAAGGGTCCCAGCAGCAGGCGGGAGCCTGGTTAATCCGGCTACGCCTCCTGGGGTAGCATGTCGCCGCTAGGCACTTAGCCTGCTAGCTTTAGCTATAGGGGCTGCATTCTGGTGCCGCCGACCCTCGCCGCTTGGTCGTGATGCGCTGCCTACATCCGGCACCTCTGCATCACCAGCCCGGGCTTGCGGTTTTGCTTGCCTGTGGGAAACCCTCGCAAAACATCGCGTATATGCAGGGTTTAGGCCATGTGGCTGACATCATCAGGGTCTGGGGTTGGGCCTGGGTGATGCTTCAGCGGGGGGCTTGGTCTGCGTCATCAAGACTTCCTTCCAAAAAGCCTCGCAACCCATCAAGTACTGTTTTTTAGAAGGTATCGGAGGGATATAAGCGAGGCTCATTTTCGCGCATTTTGGCGCCAAGCGCTGCCGGGCATGCCGGCGATGCTGTGCCCTCGCTCTACAAAACGCTGTAAATACCGTCAAAAACTGCTGTGCTGAGCGGTTTGTTGTTGTTCTGTCCGTTTTGCTGTTGCTGTGGCTGGCTCGCGTGCTGCGCGGTCCTTGCTTTTTTCCCGTTGGTTTTCGGGCCTTCTGGCGCGCGCGCGCGACCCCAGCCACAAAACGCTGCTATTTACGGTGTTTTGTTGCATTTGCGTTTCCGGGCTGGCTTGCGGGCTGCTCTTTTGGGCTGCTTTTTCTGGGTCCTCTGGCGCGCGCGCGCGACCCCGTGTCAGCCTTCTGGTTGGGGCCCGGCTGGGGCCCAGAAAGCTGGCATCCGCTGCATCATCTGGGGTTGGGGTGGGCAACATGCATAACCTAACCAACCATATCATAGCACAGAATATGTTTCTCATACAAAAAAAAAACATGGTACAACTTCAAAGAGGCGTAGCCGGCTAGAGGCCGCAGGCCCAGAAATAGTTAGAATGGCGTTGTCAGGTACTTGAAAACCACATTGAGGTCATGATGTTGGGGTAAGCTGTTGATTATTCTTGGCCCCTTACGCTACCTACGCCTGAACTTGCTTGCAGTCCCCCCCCCCCGCCCCCGCCCCGCCGTTTGACAACCTGCAAGCGCAAAGACACCACAGAATTCTGGGACTGGTTTCCCAGAGAGTTGAGTGTCCCCTTGCAAATCCTAGGGAGGCTTCCTCTAAAGACCCCGACTGCAATGTCCGACTGCAATTCCCAAAATCCGCTTTGCTTCCAGTCATCAAGTGGGATAATGCTCACCTCGGAGTACTTCCTCAGTGGGTTGGTCAGAAAAAGTCGGCCAAACTGTTTGCTTACCACTTAAAAGGGTCCAAACCACAAAGTGCAAAGTCCAGGAACCTGCCAACATGCTTTCAATACGAACTCCTGCGAAGTCATGCAAAAGAACTGGCAGACGCATCCCTCTGCAGCGACTCGATGCCGTGCCCCAAAGGGGGGCTGTATGTGCCCCACTCCCATTTTCTAGCCTTCCCCGTAAGAAAAAGGAACCACGACATGGAGATCCCATCAAAATCGCCCCCCCTCCTTTTGGTTGAGGCCCCTGGAAAAGAACCACCCCTTTCACACACTTTAAAACCAACAAGGGATAATCAAACTAAGGAATATGTGTATTCTATTTAGGGATGATGAAACATATGCACTAAACGGAAGGGGCTTCTCCCAAACTTCCGCTATCTAAGCCCAGGGCCGGCGGCGGCCGTCTCTTTGCCCCCGGCCTCGGCTACGCTCGCGCAAGTCGATCTCACGCCCCAAGGAGGTGCGTCTTGTTGAGTTGTTTCGGTGGAATTCAAGGGAACCCAGAAGGCAAACCATTTTGGGAAATTTTAGGAGGTCAAAAAAGAGAGACACAGCCAAACGGTCAAAAGGTCGTTTTCGGAGCTACGACCCATGTGAGAAGTGGTTGCATTGACGTTTTTCTTGTCGCGACGCGCTTGCGCCCGGTGGTTCTAATTTACCCCTACCCTTGATGTATATACTTTCGGCGGGGATTCATGTCCAACCACTTTCAAGGTAGCTCCAACTCTTAAGTTCATGGTCATACGGTGGATGCCCGAAATATTGCAGGTATGGAACGAAGGAAACCCTGATTTTTTGGTTTCTGCGGTGGAATACTTGCCTAGGTCCTCCAGTACAGAGGTTAGAATAAGGGTACCCTTTTTTTGCAATATTGAGTTGGCACCCACCGTATCTGCGAAGCCCCTGGCCAAGTCTCAGGGAAAGCCCTGCCATGGCCAAAGCGCCGCCGGAAAGAACCCTGAACTCCTCGAGCTATCGGCTTAAGGGAAAGCCTAAGTGAGCGTGGTTCCTTTTTTGAGGGTTCCGCGTGTTGCATGGTTTCAAAGGACATCCTCAAGCAAATCCACCTTTTCCTCCTTCTCTTTTTAGGGAACCCCTAAAGAAAGACACACCCAAGTGAAAAGCAACCAGCCAACGCTCCCCAAAACCCCGCCAGACTTTTGCTGCATGAGCGCTGCTTCTCCGTCGGCTCCCGCAGGCCGTTCTTCGGCTGCGGCTTCGGCTGCCTTGCCTTCTGCTGGCCTCAGGCGTGCGACCACCAAACTTCCCAAGCCCTAAGCTTCCCAGCGCGCCCTTGGAGGGGTTGAGGGCTTTGGTGGCTTTGGTTGAAGGGACCCGGAATTTGTTTAACCCCGGAGTAAGCAGAACCCCTGGTTGGTGAATAGGGAAAAGGGGGGTCCCTTTTTAGTGGGGATTCAGACCACTTTTGGAGGGAACACCCAACTAATATATATGGGACGGGTTTATTAATCCCGGGTCAACATTAAGCCCCAAGCTCCCTAACCCCTGGTACAGCAGTTCCGCAGCGTCTCGCGACAAAAAGTCGGTCGGCTGCAGCCTTGGAAGTCAGCCGTTGGATTGGCATGGCTCGATCACCTTCGGGTTTCTCATAGAATAAGGGCAACGGCAGAACTACACGTGGTCACAATGCAGCTAAGGCTTGGAAGGATTCAACTTGCGGGGTAGCTGCCACACATTTACAACACACACACACACACTCTGTCTACCACTCGCGCGTACGTGGAAACAAGAAGGGAAAAACAAACAGCAAAACAGCAACACATGAGTGTTGCACCGCATGGGCATACATCATAAGGTCCACTTGCGCTTTGGCAAGAAAGGCCCCCATGCAGTGTCCTGACCTGCGTGGATCAATCTATTACCATTGGTTGGAAAAGCTATGACTCAAAGTCGCACGCCGCAGGCGAGCCGGTATGTTTTTGCTATGGCCTGCTTAATTGGGCAGCGTACTTTAGTAAGTGGCTAGTAAGCCCGGATATAACTCACTTCACTTCTAGGAGACTTATAACCATGGCTTTTGTGCGTTTTTACCCTAGGCCCTAGTTACTCACTAAGAACCCGATCGCCCCTTTAATTGGGGTTTGGGGGACAGGTTGGGGGTCGAACCATGTTCTAGTGGCAGTGCCACCCAGAGCCCCTTGAGCATACTGCGCTTTGACATGCCGGGATTGCCTTTTTGGGGCCGAGGCCTGCAAAGGCCAAGGGTCCTCGCCATGAAGCCGTCAGGTAACCCTTGGTCTGGTTGTTTTGGCTTTGAAAACGTAGGATAGAGCACCAAACCCCCGGGCTCTCAAAGCAATCCCAAAAGAGCTGAAGCCAGCGCCTTCCATGCACCAAAAAAACACACGTGCCCACACCTGGGCTGTTCTCAGATTCCCTGCTAGAAGTAGACACTTGTACTGGAAACCGCCACTGCGCCAACTAAAAATACCCAAACACACCTAAAGGAACCGGATGCCTCATGTCTGCATGCTTCTCACCCCATCGGAAGGGGTCGGGACTCCAACCGAACCGCGTTTCACGTGGGAAATCATCTACCAAGACCCTCCTGAGCACTTTCATGGAAAGAGGGAAGAAATACCAAATCACCCCATCCTGCAACTTACCGGGTGACCTTCACCCTAGTGTTTGCGCATACCCTTTCACAAACCCTCCATGACCTCAACAGGGTGTCTCTTGCCCAGGTTTCATCAAGTGGCAACAAAAAGACACACAAACGCCGGGTTTCCTTGCCAACTCCCCTTCCAACCCACCCGAAACAAAATCGATCCGCACTCCCAAACACACAAAATCCCACCTGGCCCACCAAAAACGTAGAGTGAGTGCCCCCCCCCCGCTTCCCCCGCCTCCACCCCCCCGCCACCCCTGCCACCCCTCCCCAGCCGCACCTCCCAGAAGCGCCCGGAGCCGCGGAGCCCGCGGGGCCCGCGGAGCCGGACGGCTCCTCCGGAGCAACCTCAGCGTCCGTCCAGCGGCCCGGCATGGCCCGGGCCGGCCCCGGGGGGGGGGGTGAGGGGGGGCGGCGACCAGTCGCTTCCCGCTTGGCTTGTTGGAGTTGGATCTGGGCATCTAGAGGCCCAAACCACCAAACCCTCCACCTGGAGGGTCCCTGGAAGATGGATTCCCTCTTGTAGGGATCCCCCTGTCAGCCATGGCAATGTGGGAGTAAGCACACTTTTCGAGTTAGTCAAATGGGTTGCTTCATTCATGATTTCACCCAGTTTTCATGGCCAGGGTTATCAACTGTTGCTATGTCCTGCGGGGGTTTGAGAAACGCAACTCATGACCAACAGCTACCTGAGCCCTAGGTTTCACGCTTAACGTGGCTTCTTGTTGAAACGAAAAAACAACAAAATTTAGATGAGAAATCGAAAACAATTAGATGGTGTTAGATGGTCGTAGATGATTTTTTGATGGTTTTAGGCGTGTTGCTTTCCTGCTGCCAAAGGGAAACGGCCAGGGAACAACTAAAAAGATATCTAAAACCACGAATTGTTTGGGGGTGTTCCCCGTTTTTGAAACAAGCCCATATGCGCAAAAGTGGGTTGTAGGTGTGTTCCCTCTCATCGGATTGGTGGCTTGGAGGTTGGGTGGTTGCAGCTTCCATGACAACTCCTTGCCGGTTCTATTTTCCATTCTGACAGACTCAGACCCCGCATGAAGTTAACTTTTCGCCTGTTTGGCCTTGACAAGAAAGCGACACGCAAAGGCCAACAGTTTTGAGCCGGTAAGCTCCCCAGCCCTGTGCCCCCGGAAAAAGCGTGCACCCTCACTTTGCAGGCTGATTTCACAGAAACTCCTCCGCATAAAAGGAAGCCACCCACACATTTGCGCGGCCATGCTTAGCGCCTTTGGCTAAAGGTGAAATGAGGGAACTACCTTGTCCCTGGCCAGATCTGCTGGTAGCTACGCAAGCCTGCCTAGTAAAAACAAAAAAGCAAAACTGGATACCCCTCAGCTCCTGGGCTCCCTTCCAACCACCAGCTAGGAGAGCTTGGAAACAGGGCCGCAAGTCAGACAAAAAGGAGAAAACAAACTGGGCACTTGCCCATGGCTCACCTAGTCCAAGCTGCCACGGCCCTGGATGCTTCGGAGTCCGTTGGTGAGACCTCAGTTTCAACATGTCGGCACGCTCAAATAAAACATGCCTAGGTCCTCCGGTAGAGAGGTTAGAATAAGGGTGCCCTATTTGCCGTAGTCTATTTTAGTAGGCGAACCCTCACCCCAAAAAGGTGAAAGGGCACTACCGGGGACCTAGATGTGCGTGTTTGTCTGCGTTGGCTGCAATGAAAGCCTGCAACATACAATGCTGCATGTTTTCGCCACTTTCCGTGGCAACCTTGCCCAACAGCTCATAGGCTCTTTTGGCAAAAAGTGCCTTCGCATGTCGACTGTGCTGGACCCAACCCATCAAGCACGACCTCGGCAAGATGTGAGTAAAGGGGATGACCAATGGTTTGGGACTTGCACCATTCACTTTTACCTTGAATGCACGCAAGATTCATCAAGCCAAACCTGCTTCCAGCCAACTCTCCACATGTGCCATCACAACTCCTGCTACCTATGATCGTGGTTCCCTTAACATGAACCATGACAAAGACAATAGGGTTTCTGAACGGGGGTGACCTTCAAGTCATACAACCTTTGGCTCACTTCCTGAGTGGATGGGCTAAAACAAAGCTAGAGTTTTGGCTTGCCACTAGAATGGCAACCAAAACTCTACAAGTGACTTCAGCTTCTGAACCCGCAAAAAAAAAAAACTCCTGAAGTTTCTTTTGGGTCCAATTTAAAGAAAGTTCCACCACTGCTTCAACCAAACCGCATACGAAGAGAATTCAACTCGCGGAGTGGGGTGATGAAGTCACTCGCGGGCTGTGTGTCTTGTGTCTCGCCGCGCGGCTTGGCTGTCTTTGCCTTTCCTGCCGTTGGCGTAGGCCATGGCACCCAGACACAGCAGGAAGATGAGGATGAGGACTGGCGGAGCCACTTGCTTGACGTTGGAAGGGGAGCAAAAATTCTCAAATTTTAGCAGTTGAGTGGTTGGATTTCAACCACTAAAGCACAATAAGCAAAATGTAAAATGTTTCCCAACAACAACCATGGCCACAGGCAACCATGGCCAGGGTGTGTCGTTTTTCCCCCAGCAGCAAGCCGCACATCTCAGACCAGATATGCTCCGGGGTGGTCCGGCCAGAAAACTTGTGGTTTTCATATTTAAATATGTCCACTAGTAAAATTGTTTCCCCTTAAACCGACATACTGGAAGATTGGGTATGTGTTTGTTAGAAGAGAGCAGCCAGCAAAATGGTATTCCTTTTGGCCACACGTTTAAAAAATAAAAGAAAAGAACACACTCCAAAAAAGGAACTACAACCATTGGTGTGGGGACTTGGTTCTCGAAAATAGCCGTTGTGATTCCCAAATGGGCCATCCTCATGACTACTTGGGGATCACAGAAAACAGGTGGCTCTAATAATTTTCCACTACCACGTGTAGGAATGTGTCAAAGACCCTGGAGCCCGTTGTTGAGCTGGGATATTGATAGAAAGCTGACACGATCCAACATGCGTAATAGAACAACTTGGCAGCCTTGCTAAAGGCAAACGGTTCAAAATACGATCGGCTTTGCTCTCCACTGGACTTGGGGAGGCATGAGCTGCTGGATTTTCGTCTTGCAACTACGCAAGCCTTCAAAATCGTTGCCTACCTTTGCGGTACAAGGAACCATCCACAGGTAGTGGGTGAAAGAAACAGGATCCAAGCGTCTGTCTCTGACCACGCCGGGAGTGGGAAGCCACTAACCCCACAACCCATCCGAGTCACTGAGCGGAAAGCGTTTTGTCGCCGGAGCGCACCTTTGGGGCTTCAACAAATTGGCTAGAAAGGTAGCCGTTTGCATTGGAAGGAACTGTCCCGAGGAAGCAAACAGCTTCCGCTTATGTACAGATATATACATACAAACACACACATTTATATACATATGTAGGTCTCTACATGCAGGCGTTTTGTTGAGGTTACACTTTTTGGCGTGGAACCAGAGGGAAGCCTAAGGCAACCCCACCGTGTTACAGGGTCCAAATCTCCAACTTCTTCGGCCCGTTCGCTTCATGTCGACCCGCCAAAGCCTAGGGATGCGCCCATGGAGAGCTCCTTGTCTTCCGGGGGCAAGCGCCGGGGGCGGTAGAAGATGGTGAAGACCACGTTCGCGTCCTCCCGCCCCGTCGTTCATCGCGCCGAAAAAGGCAAACCGAAACGGAGGTCTGATCGAGTAGATGTCCCAAAAAATCCGCCGACCCTCTGCCTCCCGTCCCAGCCTCCTGCCTCCTTGTGACTTTTCCCTTAATGCGCCGAGGGTCGGCGGCAGCAGGCGGGAGCCTGGTTAATAATTAACAAAACTTTTGACTTGACACCAAAACGGTCCAAGCCAGGAAATTCAGAAAGTGACTTGAGCATGGGGACCGGGAAGCGAGGAAACCAAACCAAAATGGGATCAGTCAGCTTCTGGATTGGTGGCTTGGAGGGGGTTGCCATTCTGCACAAGAGCCAACTAAGGGATAGTTGAATGCGGGGGGGGAGGGGTGTTGTCACTGCAAAACAGAAACATGTTGTGTGTTTTCTCCACAGCCAAGCGGCACATGAAAACCCTGTTGCTCTGTTTTCTCTGTATTGGGAGGGGGGGGGGGGTTGGGGTTGGGGGGGGGGGCGAATGGCGCTGTTATCGCAGGTTTCCCCTAAAATCACCCGGAGAAGCAGCTCACAAGGGAAACCTGGGAATCGTCCGCTTCCCTGGTTAATTTCAATAAGATGTGAATCGGTGTGCATTCTATGATCATCTAGCTTTGAAATTCTTCCCTCTTCAAGTTTCTAGTAAACTCTTCTCACTGGCCGGATTCCCTACCGGCTTGGGGATCTTCGATAAACTTCGCTCCCTCGGGAAGTGGAACTTGGGTCGATTCCATTCATGTTGGATTCGGAACCAGGGCCTTTCTGGGCAGAGACCCCGTGGCTTCCGGCTGTTGGGGAAAACCATGAAGGTGTTTTTGCTGACTCAATTTCAGGCTCGCACTCTGTGTCTCAGTTGATGTCCGCATTTGTTTTTTGAAAAAGAAAGATCTGGAACCCGAAAATTGGGAGGACGGCACAAGTCGCGATTCTACAGTTCGCGATGGTTTCGAGGCCAGGCAAGAAGGAAATGCTATAGAACCCAAAGGGTACGGTCTAAGAACAATCAAAACATGGGAGCCTACCTGCCCTCAAGAACCAGGGTGTCAAATCCAAATCCAAGCCACCAACTAAGAGGCAACTGAGAATAACCTGTGAATATGTGTGGTGCATACTTTGGTCCAAATCGCGCTCGACTGGATTGGCCAAAATGTCAGTCCCCCAATGCTTGTTTGCCACCCGTCGCAAGCAAAACGTGACTCAAGTCCAGGAAGTTCGGGAGTGAGACCCATTAAATTGGCTTGTCTAGAGGGCAAACCCCCCCAAACAGGCGGTTTCCCCTTGGTTTTCCTTCAGAAGCAAGGGGAAAAACAAAAAAAACAGTTTTCCGCAACAAGGCGACACCCCCTCAAAGGGGCCACCGGCAGATTAGCCGATTGGCCGGGGTTCCCCTATGCTGTCCTCCACCGACGGCTTTGTGCACTCCATCGCCTGCAGTTTATGATTTCTCTCGACGCTCTGCCGTTGGGGTCCCGAACCCCGGCGGATTTCCAGAAAAACAAAGGTCACTATGTGGTTTTGGGGGGAGAAGCAGCAAACGAAAAGCTTAGCTTGCTTGGAGCCTAAACAAGTAGACCAAAAGGGGCAGAACAAACACCTCAACAGGTCGAGTCGCTTTGGACAGGCTACTATGTCCTCACAGAGCTCCCAGTAGTTTTCCAAGGCTCCCTCTTTACATGCAAATTTGGACGCCCCCAGCTACGAGTCCGGCTCCCAGCCAACCAACAGCTAGCAAGCATAGAGGACAACTGTTGATGGACGAAATTCGTTCGCGCCTCCTAAGAACCATGGTTGAAACCAAATCGTTTGTTGGTATTTACGTTGGGTAAGCCTACGTAATCAGAAACCGTTGGGTTTCTGGACGGTGGTGGACAGTCAGGGAAGTCTGACCCGGATTGAAAAAAGAAATGCGTTTCTTTCTATGGGGGTGCCCCTGGTTCTAGCTGGGGAACACGCCCCATACTAAATTCATCCGGGGTCAACATTAAATGGAACATGGGTCTTCTAGAGACTTCTATCATCCTGAGCTCTCCAAACGGATTGGACTTTCTCAGCTGCGAAATGGATTTTCGCAACCATCCACAGTGGGGAGCCCTGATCGCACTTCCCGAGTAGATGGCCCAAAAAAAGTAACCACACTCTTACTTGGCACTAAATGGCAACCAAATCCAAAAAGTGACTAAAGTCCAGGAACTCAGACAATCTTGGTTGCTGTTGACCCCTCTGCAACAAGCTTGATTTTCTGGGGGTCCAATGACAATTTCGAGCTCTTTCAACCAAAAAGTTAAAGTCCAAAGATCCGCTACCAAACAAATAGCAGAAAAAGAACCATAAGCTACTGGCAGGTTTCATTGTGGTTAGAAACAGGGTGCCCTTTTTTCTGTAGTCTATTTAGTAGGGCTCCACCAAAAAAAAAGGTAAAAAGGGCACTACTGGGGGACCTCGGAAGTGAGCGGCTCAAACGAGCCACGCTTTGGATGAACTGCACGCCTCGGGGAGCTCCACGAAGGTGAGGCGGGAGGAGTCCCAGTTCAGCTCGGCGAAGTCGAAGGTGGCGCAGGCGGCTTGCCAGAACCACCTCGGGGAACCGCTGGGAATGGCTGCGGCGTCGGAAAGCCAGGCAAGCAAGCAAGCAAGCAAGCAAGCAAGCAACTAACCAATTAACCAGAACCAACCAACCAGCAGCAACCAGCCAACCAACCAACCAACCAACCAACCAACCAGCCAAGCAAGCAAGCAAGCAAGCAAGCATGCAAGCAGCCAGAACCAACCAACCAATCAAGCGTCTTTTGTCCCTCTTGGCGACGCGGTCTCTCTGGTGGCTTGGAATGGTTGTTTGGGTTTGGGACCCCTTCGTCCTTGTGGAGGGCAAATGGGGACCTATTGTATCATACTGTCACCTTAGTTTGGAAGCTAGGGGTGCCAAAACCCAATTTGGTGCCAAACGGTGTCGGGCAACGAAGGGTTAACTGACGTTTGTTCAAGTGAAGCAACCACGTCCCACCACACAACCGCTCTGCAAATCGCAGTAGATTCCAGTGTTTCCCTGGTTCACCTGCTTCCAATATTGCAATGAAGCCAGTCGCAACACGGTTGACAATGTTTAGCGCTTAGCAAACAAACATGGGTGAACAAGGAGGGCGATGTTTCACTGGGTTGCGGCATGAACCCCGTCACACAGGCTAAAGAAATGGCTCCTGAAAGGAAAGCCAAAGAAAATCTGGGTGGTTGAGTGGACAAACGGTGGTGAACAAGTTGCGACCAGGTGACCCGTTCGGCAAATGAGGGGAACCATTGCTTTTGGGGGTTCGGAATTTAGAGGAAAAACTGCCAAAGAGTGCCGGGTGAGGGACACAAAGCAATCCCCTTGCGTAAATGCGAGGGGTGGGGCAACTATTTTTTGAGTTGGTACCCTTTTTAGGATCATAGAGGGAAACCAACGGAAACCATCCATACCGTGGATGCATGCAACCCTGCACCACTTGCAACCATGGTTGACATTTTGTTCGTTGAAATTTACGTTGGGCAATCGAATCATTCCCTTGGGTTTCTGAATGGCGGTGCGGATTTCGCAATCATCCACAACATAATTCCGCGTTCAATACCTTGAAATTTCAAAGTCTTACACGCAGCTGCCCGTTTCGAACCATCTTTCCTTCAAAGGCTTTGGGATCAAACGCGCATTTTCCAATTGCTTAAGCCCCCCGGAAACCCAAAAAACAACACCACCAAGGAGAACAAACATATCCTTAAGCGACTGGAAGACTTGCAACCAAGAAAGCCAAAGAATCAAGGTCCTCCAGTAGAGAGGTTAGAATAAGGGTACTCTTTTTTCTGTAGTCTACTTACCCTCCCCCCAAAAAAGAAATGGTCAAAGGGCACCTAGCTGGGGGACCTAGTCAACCTCTCAGCTGCCCACTCATGGGTTTGGATTGGTGGTTGCGAGGAATTCTTCTGACCTCCGCCCGCGCCCCGGCCGCGCCCGCCGGCCACTCGCCGTGGCGCCCCTCCGGCGGCGCTTCCGTGGGCGCCGGGGGCAGCGGCAGCCGCAGCTTCACGGCGCGCGCGGTGAGGTTCACCGCCGCGCTGCAGCGGCGGAGGTCCACCCTGACGCGCGCTTCAAACGACACCCACGTAGACAACTTGGTTGCTGCAACGACCCCCCTGCCAAAAGTCTAACTTTTGAGGCGTTTAGTGGAAACACACATGTATTTCCCAAAAAGTTAAAGTCTAAAGATCCAACCCAATAGCAGTCAAGACAATAGGAACCTTGTTTGTTTGTTGGTTGGTTTGTTTGTTTTTTGGTTGGTTGGTTGGCAATACTGTGGATGGACGAAATCCATTTGGCACCACTCAAGAAGCCAGGAAAACCACTGTTTGTTGGTATTTTCAAGGGAATCACAATCCAGGGATTCTCAGGTGGTGCGAACGGATTTTGTCCATCCACAGTAGGAACCTTGCTTGTTGGCTGGTTGGTTTGCTTGTTTGCTTGTGGGCTGGTTTCTTTGCCTTGGTCTGGCTTGCTTTGGTTTGGGGTGTAGCTTGCCACCACCCAGTAGTACAAACAAAAATGTAAAAATCGAATCAAACATGACCCTCCCATGAGGACCTTCGGTTTTAAAGATAGGGAACCTCAGATGGGTTTGTGGGAACGGCTCACTTCGCAAACCCAGAGAGAGGAAAAGCCGCCAGTTGCATGGCTCAGCCCTGCGTGGCGTTTTTCTTTCGCTCCGATGGGAGCTCCAGGAAACGGGCCCCATTTTTGTTAATATATTTTTTTCGAAACTGCTGACACGACTTATCTCCAAAGCAAAGGGTTCTCACTGGCCGAGTGGATGGCCCAATACAAGTCCAAACTTTGTATTTGCCACTAAAATGGTCCAACCCCAAAAAGCTTAAAGTTCATGAACTCAGGAAGTGAGGGTTCAAAACCCTGGCGTGGGGAAGCAATGTCGGCAACAGCAACTAGTGGCAAAAGGTCCGCAAAAGGTTCACCCACTCCATCCGGGTCCCAAAAAAACAAGTTAGGCCCCAAAAGATTGCTGCAGTCCTTTGGGCCCTCCCAAAGCCAACTACGAGAAGTTGTTTCCGGAAAAACGCCAGAGTTTACCAATCGCAAAATGGTCCCAAAAAATACAATCGTAAAAAGACAAAATAGATTGACCCCAAGGTCTCCGCCAAAACAACCCAAATCCCAGTTGCCTGACTCTATGCTTTACCATGCTTTGTGGGGACCAAGAGGTTACCCACACGTGGCAAGGGAACGGAGAGAGACCCTCCAGATTTTGAAGTCAAGCCTCAAGGGGAAAGAAACCTGGTCCGGGTTTCGGCAAGCATCCCAAGCTAACAAGGGGTTGTAGAATATACCCCTCAATCATAGAAACCAGCTACAGGAAATTCCCACCAAAATCAGGGGTTTCCTGCAGAACTTCCTGTACTTGGTTTCTTAGACTCAAGGCTTGAGAGGCTTCCAACTTCAATCCCCCCACCCCCCCGCTTTCGGGGGCTTTCGGGGGGTGATTGGGAGGAATCCACCGGCAGCGCCTTGCTGCGTGGCCATGGGAAAAGTGAGCGATTCAAGCTGGCTACCAAGGCCTCAACAAGAACTGATTTGGGCAGAGCAAGCAAAGGAGGGTGTTGCGACCAGGGCGCACTGTGACGGTTGCGTCCGGCTTCACGTAGAGGGATGCGTAGGAGCTTTGGTTCGCCCAGTCGTAGGGGTTGCCTGAGGGAAGCATCCGGAGAGTTCGCAGCTCTCAATGCGTTTAGCTGGAAGCACGCCAAGCTGGCAATTCTCCCATGCTTGTCAGGCGACCCAAGAAAGAGGCACCTAAAAGGACCTCTATTGTTTTCCGTCGCTAAATCCCCCCCCTAGGATGGAGCGGTGGGGGGGGGGGGCTGTTGGGCAGCCCTTGGCAACAATGGAAAAATCACCTCTCCAAACTTGCAGGCACTCTTCCAATCAGATTCCCTTTCATAAGTATTATCAGAGAACGGCACCCTTTTGTGCAAAGTTCAATTGGACCGTCCCCCACCAAAAAAAAGAAGACATCACTTCTATGCAAGGAAACAAAAGGTGATGCTTCACACAACCCAACATTGGAAATATAGGTGTGTGTGTGTGTGTCAGATGGAGGGGCCCTCAAACGGTGGCCTTCTGTTCGGCTTCCAGGTAAAGCCACCACACAACAGTACGCTCAAAAAGACACGCACCAATCACGCACCCAAATTGGGGAACTGTGCGAGGGACAGCATGCTTCCATTGTTAAACATTCTTTATCAAGGGCATTCTCAGGTACGGGCGGGCGGGCTTTGGGCGGCGGTATGAAGGCTTCATACCATGTACCCTCCCACCAATTGACATGGAACCTGACAGGGGGGTCCTGGCTTGGACCATTTTCCTGTTCAAGGGACCCCCTGTCAGGTGGGAGGGTATGTACAGGGCACATCTGCGTTACAAGCTTACACCAAAGTTCCCACCTAGAAATGCCCTCTTCCAACTTTCGTCGAGCAACTGTTGAGCCACGTCGTAAGCTGCACGTCGATGGTGCTGCACGATGCCTCGCATCACTCCCTATTCTCACGAAAAAAATCCGAACGAGACGCGTGTGTCGTTTCTGCCATCAACCCTTTTGCGAGTATGGCCGTGGCTTCCGGGATAACGTCTGTCTAAAACCCATTGCAAGAGGAGATATTCCTTATGCATAATGGCACACTGGCAAAAATGAGAACGTGCTTCCAGTGACATCAGTTTCCTTTAAAACCAAAAGGGGAAAAAGACGGGCACGCCGTTCAGCAAACGCAAGTCAGATGGATGTAGATGGGCTTTCCCACTTCTTTCCTTTAGCTCCTGCACAAAAAACCTCCATTTGCTTAAGTCCCCTGAAAAAAACAACAACAACACATGTCCAGTAGTGATAGATTCCCGTTAAAACCAAAAGGGGAAAATAGATAATAATAATAATGAAACACATTCTTGGAAGGAAACCAAACAAAAACCTCCGAGAACATGGCATCAAACATCGCCTGTGCGAGGCGTCGGTCACTCAGCGCGTTCAGCTCCCAGGAGGACACGGAGAAGCCTGGCATCCGTTAATCGGTTGGATTCAACCCCTCACGTCCTGAGCTGATGCCGCACTAAAATGGCCAGCAAATCCAAAAAGAGACTCAAGTCCATGAACTCAAGGAGTGAGTCATTGGGCTGGATGGGGAAGTGGGGGCTAGGGCAGGGGCGCTTTGCTCGTCCACTGCCCATCTACTTGGTGACAAGGGCGCTGCAAAGCCGGCTTCCACTTGACTAGTAAACCCAGACATGGTTCATTCTCCCCAGGAGCCCCTGGTTTCTGTCTATCAGGGGTCGTCCAAAAGTGGAACCCTGCAGAGGCTCCTCTGAGCCGCAAGACCCAAGGCAGATGTGGCAAGGGCACCTTAAGCTGAGGGCCTTGCTCGCAATGTCCGAGGGGAACCTTTCACGCGGATATCGCGGATGCGCTTGGAAAAGTTGAAGGGCGCCCACACATGTACAATTTGGAGGCAGCTGCATTGAAATGGTCAGCAAAGCCTCAAAAGCTCCTTACATCTTCTTGCTGTGTATGGACGAAATCCATTTCACACCACTGAAGAGACCAGGTGGTAAAAGTCATTGCCTGTGGGTATTTTCAGGGGAGTCCTCCTTGCAAGGTTTGATAGGTGCAGGATGGTCGTCCACCCACTTCCTATGCGCGTAAACATGTGGCTTTCCTCAGGGCCAGACGGCAACAGGGCTACTTCTGCCAACTGGGGCGTTGGACAAAAATACCTTACCGATATCGGTGCCAACCAGGGACAAACTCCTTGAGCTCCGTTCTGAGCAGGACCAAACCCAATCAACCTATTGGAAGGACGTGGCCCAGGTCAGAGCACAGCCAAAGATGGGTGGTGACAACCCTGAAAAGCCCATAAGCACAAAGGTTTATATGGCTGACTCCGAAAATGGCATGGGAAATGGAAAGACTAAAACCAACGCTTTGCCCTAGCTCTCCAATTTTGAGCCGCACCCAGTTGCTACAACCTCCACGTCGGGACTGTGGCTGAGCCAAACACAACTGGCAGAGGACACGAGTTTTGGCTCTCTCTTGGGAAAATATCGCTGATGTGGCATTCCCCATAAATCCCAAATGTTTTCTCCCTCTCGCTCTCTGTCTTTCCCTGCCCCTGTGCCACACTGCAGGTTATGAGTACTATTGCCTATTCTTGGTACATATCCGTGCTACACCAACATAACCAAAATGAGGACTCTGTTCCATAGTTAGTCTTCCCCTGAAATATAATATAGCTTTGAAAACCCAAAACTGCTTGGATATGGCGAATCCGTGGATCCACCTCTGTAGGATATTACAAATAAAAGAGTACTCAAAAAGATCTTTCAGGTGGAAGAACAGGTGAACTCCACAAAAGAACTGCAAATCCAGACAGCTTTCTGGAGTACTTAGCGCCCTGCCCAACCAACAAACCAGACTTCACCCGTGACATCCGCCTCCTGCGGAGAGGCCCTTCAGCAGTGCGTGTGGGTAGCCCTCCTTGTGAACAAAGACCTGCAATCCTTGGAGACCAAGAAGCCATCCCCCCCCAAAAGTGCCATTGATCCACATATGACCTTTGTTCTTCCTCCCCCCCCACCCAAAAAAAAGAAAGAAAGAAAGAAAGAAAGAAAGAAAGAAAGAAAGAAAGGCAGGCCCTTCCAGCCTTCCCCTTCCAGCCGGTCCCCCCATTTGAAACCAACAACCATGGGCTGCCGTGGGCTTGGAGTTGGTGTTGGCGCTCGGTCAGCTGTTGGCGTTTTACTGACTTTCATGTCGCGCGATGACTGTCTCAAGGCCCAACTAGGTCCTCCAGTAGAGAGGTTAGAATAAGGGTAACCCTCCCGCAAAAGAGGTACTGCGGGACCTAGCCAAACCATTTGACTGAAAATTCGGGGGTCGGTCTGTGGGTGAATGGTCTGGACCATACATTCACCCGAGGATCCGTGAAGACTTGACATGTTCAATATGGGGGCATCGCATCCCTCACTGATCCATGAGCCGTAGTGGGACACTACGACGCCACCAAAAGGGATAACCTCCATTTGCTTAAGTCCCCTGAAAAATTAAACATATTTCCAGTAGTGATAGGTTCCCTTTAAAGCCGAAAGGGGACAATAAACAACAAATTCTTAACCTAATGGAAGATAAGATAACCATTGCCATCCGGTACAGGGATTATGGATTGCTGTTGAGAATGCATATTAGCCATCGCGTGATGATTTATCACGTCGCACACGCCGGGTAAGGGAACAGAAGCAGGCAAAGGCTAAAGCACTATAGTACCACCGAGAGCACGGGAAGCAAGCCTGCCTGACATCTTGGCAGTCAAAAGATGAAGCCCAATCAGAAAACTTTAGCATTTGCCCCACCCACTGCCAAAACTCCCTGCGGGCAATAGCTTGGCCCAAGTCGACCACTTTTCTTCCCGAACCATCCTGCGCTTTTTGTTGCTCGCCCACATTGAGGGAATCAACGAATGCCTTCTCCCCCAAAATGCCCACAACCGCACCAAAAAGCAGCATGACCAAAGCCACAAAGGCGAGAAATGACACCAAGAGCCCGAAGCAGAAACCCACGAATCATACAACCATGAACAAGAAACAAACAGAAATCCAAGCTACCCACAAATGCCGAGCCACTTTTAACCAAAAACTCCACCATTTTCAACCAAAACCAGCGAAAACAAGCAATCCACAAATGCCAAACGAAACATGTTTTCACCAAAACCTCCCAAAGCCGCCTCCTTCAACCCGGATGTTTCCCCCGCGCCAAGGCGCCGGGGCTCTGCGTCGCTTCAAGCAGAACTTCCCCGTGGAGCGGCACGAAGGCGGCGACGGCCTGGCCGAACTGCTGGGCGAGGAGCGTCAGCTGCTCGCTGCGCTGCACCACCTGGTGGCTCCAAAATCCAAAGCCATTGGTTTGTCAGGTGGTGCACTTCGTCCATCCACAGTATGTCCAGTGATGGATTCCCCGCTTTGAACCCTCAAAAGAGTAGGTTTCCTGTTGGTTTCCCTTTGAATACCAACTGGGCGCAGAAAGGTCGAGCCTGTTGAGACATCTGGCCCCACTCGTGGCTTTCTTGGCGACCGCAGCATGCCATGGTTCTACGGCCTTTTTTTGGCCATGGGTCAAAAGCCAAATCGGTCAGCCCCCAGTGAACCTCCGATTCAATCCAACCACTAAAATCGTGTCTAAAATGGGTGGTGAATTCACCCACCAAAATCCCAAAATGGTTTTGACCCACATCCTGCCTACCGAGGAGGTCTGAGGCACGAAGCTGGGCACAGGGTGAGAAAGGGCACTGAAGAACCTAGTGGTGGATGAGTTGGTTGGTTCTTTGCCACGATGGACCAAACCCCAAGCTACTGGTAAAAAAGTCCAGTGTTTTCAGCCATGATGACCTGAGGTCTGAGGCCGCTGGAGATGCGGAGGGGCAGATGAACTTGAGTGGATGAGTGGATGGGAAAGTCCTTTCTTCGTTTACTCAAATGGTCCGAACAGCTGAAAGTCCAGGGTTTTCAGGAAGTAAGGAGCTCTTTTCCATAAAAAAGCATGAACCAGTTGAATCGGGTGGGGGCAGTTTGACACCGCGTGTTGCCATGATCATTGGGAAAAAATCGTCATGAGCCATCATTTCCTCAGCCCCCGGCCCGGCCGGTGCTCTTCTAACCTTCCTTTGGGTGCCCAGAAATCGGATTTAAGGCCCACCCGACTTCCCCACTTGGCAGCGGCTTTCTGGTGGCACCTGGACGCTCAAACTGATTACCCGTAAAAAACAGGAGGTTCACCATAATTTTGGGACCCTGACCCATTTTTAAGGGAATTTTGAGGGTCCAGGCATCTTGCTGGTTCAAGGCCCAGATCTTCAGTATGTCCGCGGCAAACACTTGCCGAGAGCTGCCCAATTGGTTCACGTGGGTCTGCCTCTTTTTGAGAGTTGCTTTTTTTGTGGTTTTCAACAGAAGCCATAACAGGAAAACCACCATTTGCTTTGAAGCGACCTCTCTCAAAACAAGGGATGCCAAGCTCCAAATGGGCAGCTTCTTTTGGGCCTTGCGTTCGAACAGAAAAGTGTACCCGGACCCTCGAAATTCCCTTCAAAATGGGTTATCAGCCAACAATATGGGCTGCATTCCCTTAAACATGGATTATCACCCCAAAATGATGGTTGGTGATTTCCCTTTATGGGTAGTTTGGCCTCAACAAACCAGACACCACACCCCATCGATTTGTTTGCCCACCTGGTCCGTCTCTGCCGCATAGACGGCCCTGACAGCATAGACCACATCCAGCAAATGCGCTGCAGCCGGCGAGGGAGATTGCACCAAGTCCGCCTCAGAATCCCAATCCCCTCGCCTTGATGTCAAGGGTATACGGGATCTGGGTAGCTTTTATTAGGATTCGGACACCCGACAAAAATGGCGCAACGGTTTTCCTCCGGGCGCCCTTGAAAACAACTCAAGAAGGAGTACCCTAACCTTTCTGCCCCAAATGGAAATGAGACCTAAGTGTAGAATCGAGGGAGATGTGAACACCCCGCTACTCACGATGTTCCAACCGCAACCTGTTTCATGTGCCTTTGGCCCCCCAAAATGGCCCGCAGTGGCATAGAACCTAGACTAGCATTGCACAGTTGTTGACATTGAAAAAATCATATACCATAGTTCTCTACTGGTGACATGACAAAAGTATATGATGGCATGAACCTATTGATGATATGAGCCAGATGCTTGCTACAAAAAGGGCACTAACAAAACACCCATGCGCAAGCTCCGGCTAGGGCTGCCCCTGTTTTTCCAGCCAACTTTTGAATGCGGAATCACCCCGAAGTTATTCTTGAATTTCCGCTAGAGTGAGAGCATGGGTGGTGTATGGTGCCATCTTTGGTGCGTTGCGCCCGGCAAATGAGAGGCTCTCCAGCTGTCACTTGGCCCGACTCTGGGGTACTCTAAAACGTCGTATGTTCATATGTTGCCTCATTTGTTGCTCAACCTAAGATATCAAAACATGTTCACCCCGGCGTATTGACCCTTGGTCGATTAACACACGATTTGATTTGTATCTTCACCTGGTCTTTAAAGGCTGCGGGGTAATGTTTGATTTGTTTCCGGGGGCTTGTCAAAATAGAGCATCCCTCCCTTTCACAATCTCAAAGGGCCCTGTTACACCATCTTTCGGGGGCTGCTCCAAACTTATTTGGGGCCCTGGATTAGCAGTCCCATCCTAGTGGGGGGATTGGGGGGGTGGGCCACCCCCTTTTTTCGGGCACCCGAAACGGCCCGAAACCAAAACCGCAACCGCATCCGCCGGCGTCCATCGGCCGGGGACTCCAGGAACCCCGCGCGACGCGCGCGTCCGACTCCGAGCCGCGAAGACCTGTGCCGCCACCTGCGAGATCTGCTCCGCCGTGGCGGCGGTGCGGTTGCGCAGCAGGTCCGTCGCCTGGATTTCGAGGGCTCGAGGGGGGAGGGGGTGGGCGGGGGGGAGGTGGGGGGGGAGGTGGGGGGAGGTGTGGGGGCGGGGGCGAAAGCAGTGTGGAGTCAAAAAAAGAAGCCTTTGGAGTTTGAAGACGCTGTGCTTGGCTGCTGGTTTTGCTGACTCCAAAAACAAGTCCAGATAGTTTTGAGCCTTTGGCTCCAAGGAGATGGCACCGGGACCCGAAATCTCCTTCCGTTTTGGTGGCCTTCCAAACCGTCCAAGAAAGCGAGTCCAAAACCAAGGGGTACCCAGTTACTCCTTTGAAGGAGGACAAAAGCTTAGAACAGGGCTTGTGCTGGTTGGGGAGAATGTGTTGGTTTTCTCGGGAAAGCCACAAGGAAAAGCCGCAACCTCTTGGGTGGTGTTCGAGTCTCAAAAAGGGACCCCAAAGCCAGAAGTGGTGGAAAATACCCGTTTTAAACAAATGACCCTTGGCCAAAGCCTTCAACATCTTAGCATACTCAGTTGCCCAAAGGACCCAGAAATAAAGGGTTAATCTTTGGGGATTTCATCAAAACTGGACCAAACTGGGACAAGCAACAGGTTAAAAGGTCGGTTCTGAGCAACTGAGCATATGGATTTCATGAGGACAAGCACAAATACTCTCAGCTTCGCCATTGGATTGGATTGTCAGGTGTTCTTGGGCGGTGTTCATTCCAAATCCAAGCCACCAATTCGGGGTTGCCTACCCTCCCGTCACAAAGGCTCTGAAGGCTCCTTCTTATGATCAAAGCGTTCTGCGAAGCCCGGCCAGTGACACTAAACCAAAGGGAAGGCTGCTACTGAACCGCCCGTTTGATTTTGCGCAACCCTCACTTGGCTCTATGCGGGGAAACCCCACTTGGGTTGGACACTATCATTCCCAGAGTCTCTAGGGAACATCTCCAGGAAGTTAGCCAATCCCCGCAAAAACAGCGCGGGATAAGTTGCTTCTCAGAACTGAGAATCCACCAAGCAGCAGCTCCCGAAAAAGACAGCTTCATAAAATGGAGGCCGGCTTAGTGTGCAATGTTTCGCCTGCGTGAAGGATGCCCGTAATGAGTGCCCCACAATTTAACAACAACGAAAACAACAAACGGATCGGAACAACCGATTCAACAACTAGCCTGAACGTACCTTTTCTACCTCAGTTTTGCCCAACCAACAATGTCTTTTTGAGAGTACACTTTTCGGGGGAAAAGACACACCCACATGCCGATTCAGGGCCTTAGCGCAGTGTATGCACCAAATGGTGTCAAGCCAGACAGAAGTCTTGGCTAGGAAACGATGGAGTTGAACACATGGCCTGAAAGGTCAGGCAAGGAAGCCCCGAACTTGAACCGGTGCCAGTAACATCCCATGAGTCCTTTGAAGGTGTTGCCCTTTCCTCCCTTGCAACAAGGCGAATGACTACAAAGTAATAAGGGCTAAGCAACTACACACGACATGACCGTTACGGTACCAACGACAACCCCATGCTGGTTTTTTCAGGCCCATATCTTGGCGCGAAAAAAAGGGCACGCTCAAAATGTGTCCTGACTATTCAGTCTACTACCCGAAAACATAACTAAGTCCTCCAGTAGACAGGTTAGAATAAGCTTACCCGTTTTTCCGTGGCCTATTTTTGTAGGAGAACCCTCCCCTAAAAAAGGGTAAAAGGGCACTACTGGGGGAGCAGACCCAAGTTATAGTAGCTTGGCTCCGGAAGTGCGTCCCAAGGGCAATGCTGCTCATCTGCCGCAAGCCCAAGTCTGACCTCAGCGAAGGTGCGCCAACCACCCTCAAAACTACCCGAGCCAAACGGGTGTGCTTTCTGGAAGGGTGCCCTTTTTTTTGCGGCAAGTGCATATTCGGAAAGCAGCCGTTACTGCTCTTGCAAAATTGCCGCAGCCTTGAACACCTGAGGCCATGATCAAAAACACGGATGCTTGAGGCTGGTCCGTGTCTACCATAATCAACCAGCAAAACCGCTTCAAAAGAGACCCCAGGGTGTAGAACATCGTCGACCCCCCCTTTCAAGTCTTTGAGGGGGGGCGCACTTTCCATGACGGCTGGTTGGGGTTGATTCCGAATTGATTTCAACCACCGTTCTCTTCAAAAACCTGCAGCTTGAAGCTGGGTTCCGCATGGGCGAGGTACCCCGTGCAACATGAGCCACACGCCCCGCGTCACCTATGCGCTAAGAATGGAACCCATCTTGAAGAATCCCTATTGGTTTTCTTGAAAGCCACAAACAACGATGTCGCCTCAATAGACACGCCACATCGAAAACTTGAGAAAACCCTAGAAAGCACTTAGAGAACGCCCAGAAAACCCTGGGAAACACAGAAAACCCTGGGAAACACCTGGAAACACCTCAAACATATCTTTGGAAACCCGAGATTTGATGTGATAAAACACAACCAGAAGCCGTGAACATGAGCCCCCCGACAGCTCCAGTGTGGCGGCGGCGGCCGTGAGGGCATAGACCTGCGTAAGGATTTGTTTTAGGTCTGGGTGCCTCGCCTTTCTTGGAACCACAAAATGGCCCGGTGGGCGGGTGCGCGGGTGGGTGGTTGGGTAGGTTTCCCTTGGTGTCCTTTTAAACTAGGGGTGTGTCACCAAGAAAAAAAGAAAAGAAGAAAGAGCCCGTTTCTTTTTGGTTCAGAAAGCCAGCAAACAAATAATGGTACCCTCAAGCAACCACCCGCCGTATGTTTAGTTGGAGGTATGGAGGCGAGTGTGCCACGTGGAAATTTGGGGATACTGCAAAACAAGCGCAGGTTGGTGGAATACAGCTGGGAAAACAAAAGACCATCCTCCACATGCTGCTTAGATTTTGTGCAATGTCTGGCCTTCCCTCCGCATGTTTCACCTGGCCGGTTATTGCGGATTGGTTTCTCAAAGGCATCGCTGCGATTCCGCAAAAATCGATTCGATTTCTTTTGGGCTATTCAGCTATTCAGCCATGCTGCACTCGCTTTTCAGGTTGCAAGGATTCCCCAATTGAAGCGATTGTAAATGGAAACCGCAAGGAAATCGACATTTGGGGGGGGGGGGGTGTTAAGACTAATCCATTTGGCTGTGCCTCATGAGGGGACGCTAAAACCCCTTTGGAAAACCTCGGAAGGGTACCTGCCAAAATCTCAAAAACACACACAGACACAGACACACAGACACACAGACACACAGACATACAGAGACGCAGAGACACAGAGACACAGAGACACGCAGACACGCAGGCACGCAGGCACGCAGGCACGCAGGCAGGCACGCAGACACGCAGACACGCAGGCACGCAGGCACGCAGGCACGCAGACACGCAGACACGCAGAGATGCAGAGATGCAGAGACACAGAGACACGCAGACACGCAAACACGCAGACACGCAGATACGCAGGCACGCACGCACGCAGGCACGCAGGCACGCAGGCACGCAGGCACGCAGACACGCAGGCACGCAGGCACGCAGACACGCAGACACGCAGGCACGAGACACGCAGAGACGCAGACACGCAGACACGCAGACACGCAGACACGCAGAGACGCAGAGACACAGAGACACAGAGACACAGAGACACAGAGTCACAGAGACACAGAGACACAGAGACAAAGAGACACAGAGACACAGAGACACACACACACACACACGCCCCAAACAAACATTCCAAAATTGTATGTGTCAGAATGCGGGGACGCCCAAAATGGCTGCTCAAACTATTCATGGCACCCTGCACCCATGACGAGCCACACCTAAACAGCCCACGTGCACATGGTCCACGCAGGCTACAAACTGTTGCGCAAGCTTCTGCTTCCGAGCAGGGTGGATATCCAGTGCATTTCTCTCAGCCACCAAAAAGTGCATAAGTGACCCTCAGGTTGAGTAGGACTCCTCAGAAACCCAGCCATGGGGTTTTTTGAAGAGAAGGGGAAACCTCGCGAAGAAAAGCTGGGAGTGGTTGCAACTTCAGGTTGGCATTTCCAGGGGAGGTATGCTTATATAATTTATATACCATCAATATAAGCTGGGAATGAAGTCCATATCCCGTGTATGTTTTGCATGTAACCTCCACATCTCCGAAACGTACCTGAGTTGCATCTGGCCTCCTTGCCGGTGTCCAGGTCACCCAAGGCGAAAATCGAGGCACCCAACGTGTTCAGAATGATGTTCCTCGCTATGGAAAACGTGAGCCATGGTCAGCCATACGTGTTTCCCTCATGGCCATGATAAATATTCCTGTTCCCCGGTTGGTTTGCGCGGTTTTTTTTGCTTAGAGTCCCCCATGTCCCTCCCAAATGGACCATGGCCTGGCTATTTGGACCAAACCTACGCCCTTCTGCGAGCCACTCCTGTGGGGAAAGTCCTCCCTCATCCGGGCTCGGGGACTGAGAAAACTCCTATGATGTTCCATGACTAGAATTCGCGAAGCCATCGCCCTTGAATTGGGTATGAAGTGTAAAGACGTTGGAGAACAAGGGAACCAACACAAAACATCCCTCACTTTTGCCAAGCCCCAGACTCTGTGGCGGTGTATTTTTGGTGTGCGCGAGGGAACCCAGAGGAAACCACCAACCATTCATTCTGAAAGCCTATCCGAAAGCCACCGCGAATTTTCCCCAGCGCGCTCCCTTCTCAAAATTCCAGAGCCCTGCTCAGTTTCCAGAAGGTTTGCGTGGGCAATGCAATAAGTTACCCAAATCGATGTGCCGAGGGAAACTGAAAGAAATGCTGATTCAACAAGGTGCTCGCTCAATGTCCGTCCCACTCACATGGCACCTGACGAAGTTTCCCTTCAACTGATCTTCCAGGTACCCGTTTTCGAGTTGCGGTAATTTACACGTGGATCGGGACCCTGACCCTTTATACATAGAGCTTCTCGCACTACAGGGGAACCTACCCAAACATTTTTTCTTTGCCGCTAAACTGCCTCAAACCCAAAAAGTGACTCAAGTCCAACAAACCGGGAGTGAGACTTACATGACCGCTGGGTGGCATTTGTGTTTTTTTTGCGTCGAGCTGCGCGTTGTTGGACAGCACCGAGAGGTCTAGGGCCGACTGCACGTTGGAGGCGGAAGGAGTGGAGATCAGGGGCCCCAGCGCGAAAGCGCTGGCGACCTAGCGTTGATCTAAGAGTTGTTGTAATACACCCTGGGATTCCACCCTTGAAAAAATGGGCCAAGATGTGACCAAAACTAGGTCCTCCAGATTTGAGAGGTTGGAATAAGGGTACCCGATTTTTGTCTGTCTATTTTAGTAGGGGAACCCTCCCAACCAAAGAAGGGGTGAGAAAGGGCACCTAGCTGGGGGACCTGGAAAAGATCCTTTACATTTGATGACCATTGGGGAAAGACACTGACAGGAAAACAATTCCCGCTAAATGGGAAAAGTTACCCATGGTCAGTTGGGGGCCAGGGATATTGATCAACCCCCATGTCCCTCCACACTAAGTGGGAAAGGCAACCAATACCACGCAAACTAATCAAGGATTGATTCTTGAACAAGCAGATTCACTCCCTCAGCGCAAATGCAGACCGACAAAAAATCCGAACTGGTGGTTAGCCACAAGCAAGTTGCATTCAAACAAATAGCGTCAACCTCGACCCCCCCCAAACCTTTAAACCCCAAGACTCCATCCCAACGAAACCCAAACTTTCCCAATCCCGCAAACCTCCCAAACCGGTGGCTCGTCTTTTTTGAGGGCACCCTGCCGCCCTTTTCTGGTTTTCTAAAGTGTTCAGCCAAGAGGAAAACCGATTTGACATTTTGGGGGGTCCTCCAAACAAAGACCTACAGTGGATGGACGAAATCCTGCACCGCCTGGAGGAACCCTGGAATGACTTCTCTGTAAATACCAACTGGCTCGTGATTGGACACCTCCATCTTGCTCGTTTGCTCGTTGGTAAGTGGGTAAAGGGTCATCCCATGCTCGTTTGCTCTTCCCTCAAACCCAGCCAGCCAGCAACTGGTTTCCTCTGGATTCAAAGTGGTTTCCTCCATCCACACCAATCACCACTCTCCCTAGCCCCGCCTTCCACGAACCCAACCCCCTTCCGCCGGCTTCCGCTGGGGCCCCGTGCGGCTCCGAGGGAATCCTGCGCCACCACCGCCAGCAGATGCCGCCCCGGCGACAGCGCCAGCGACAGAAACGGGAGCTCCGAGAAGCCGAGGAAGGAGCCCTGCTTGGACCAGTGCGAAGCACCTGGGGCGAAGCAAACCACGCGCAAAAACACCTAGGTCCTCCAGATTCGAGAGGTTAGAAGAAGGGTATCAACTTTTCTCTGTCAATTTTGGTAGGGGAACCCTCCCAAACCAACAAAAAGGGTGAAAGGGCGCTACTGGGGGACCTAGACACGCAATGAGTAGGATTCGAAGCACCTGGTTGGCCCCCAAAGCGCCAAGAATATATGCCCCAAATGTCCTCTCAAATTCCTCGCCTTTGCCGAGGGAAACCCACCCTTGGGCCAAAATAGGTGATGTTCAAAACCACCAAATTGGGAAATGTAGGGACCCCCGCAAAACGCAACGCACAACGGGCAGGGATTCCATGCCACACGGCGGGTAGGATTTCCATGCGAATGTAGAAGAAGCCTCGCCCCGCCCCGCCCACCATATGTAGGGCGTGCACCTGCTTGTTTCAGAACATAATTCCGAAACCTGAAGTAAGGGGCCTCCATCATTCTACCCAAGCTTGCATCTGGGCGGAACCAGCCCTGCCCGTTTGGACAAATAGACGAATTCCGTTGGAGATGATTCAATCAGAAACCACTTGGTTGCTGTTGACCCCCACTGCAAAAAGTTTAACTTTTTCGGGGGTTTAGTGGAAAACCCCTTCATTTCCAAAAAAGTTAAAGTCTAAAGATCCAACCCAATAGCAGTTAAGACCAGTGCATCCATGGTCAGCCAGCGGAAAGTCTTGGAAATGGCCCCTGTGGTTCCGTCCAGGGGCTGTCGGCATCCCGCCACTCCACCACCGGAAAGGTGCCGTTCACTTCAACGCCTGCGATCCAAGCCGGGGGAATCCGCATGGAAGCTCGCTTCGAGACCTTGGGTCTTCTGATGTGTTCTGCACCATGGGTCTCGCAGTTTAAAAAAGGCCCGTTTTCGCACAGTCCAAGGATGCGTCAACATGCTCCTGGAAGCCGTTGTTCGTTGATATTTGCAGCGGAATCGACTCATTCCCTTGGGTTTCTCAAGTGGCGCGTTGGCCATTCACAGGAGCCCCTGGTGGAGCTGAATGTCCATCGCCCGCCTCCGTTCCCATCATCCACCAGGCTCAGGCCCTGCGAGGGGAAGCGGTAGAAGAAGTAGGACAAGTTGGCCATGTCTTCATCGTACCACCTCGACTGCGCTAGAACCTTGAAGGCAACACATATGTATCGGTCTTGGTTCTGAGACCAACTGCGCTAGCTACATAGAACCTTAAAGGCAACACATCCGCGTTTGCGGTGGTTCTGAGACCAAGGAGAACCAAACACGAGGGGTGACTGCGGAACATGCTGCCGAATCGTCCACATTCGCCCGCCTGAGAGTTTCCCTTAGGTGTCCCTCACTGGCCTAAAGGACCTGGATATCAAAAGTGATCACTTTTTGGACGCGGACCATATCAAGAGCTTTCCAGAAAGGGAGTCATATAATAGTCGGGGGTACAACACATCCAGGTGGGGAAATGTGGCGCAAGGTATCACCCCTACCTTAAGGGGAGGGGCCCAATGAACCATTTTTGAGTATGGCTCACCATTTTCGGACTTTCAGAAACTGGTCACCCTCTCCCCCAATCAACCATTCCTGGGTACCCTTTTTCTGTAGTCTATTTTAGTAGGGGAGCCCTCCCAACCTAGCCGGGGGACCTAGAAATTCTTAAGTCTTTTAGGACCCGGTGGAGTTTCCAGCGGCGAGTCGTCCGGACTGCTCCGGGCCGCCCCTCCGTCGACACGAAGACCTCGCCGCCGCTAGCCGCCGCGACCGCCGCCGCCAGAACGCGGCCCCCGGCGGGGGCCGCGTCCGCCGCGAAGGCGGCGGAGGACGCGAAGGCAAGGCCCAGAGCCTCCGCCTCCGCTAGGGTCCTAGGCGCGCGTCGGGTTACTGGGGATAACAAGTTACCCCTCTCATTTACTATCATGAACCCCAGAAAGTGAATTGTTCCAGGAACATGTTCTGCCAGCCGCTCAGGTTCCACCCTGGTGGGAGGGGCGGACTCCCTTCAGAACCAATAAGTTCCAGGTCACCGGTGTTGGATCATTCAACCCCGGACTTGCGTGGCAGGTGGCCTGTGTTGAGGGGCTTTCTGATGGAAAAAGGGGCCGACTTTTGGGGGGACAAATGTTGGCAGAAACTTGTTTCTTGGCCTGCTCATGTCCAGGCGTCTCACAAGCAAATCTTGGACATTCCCGTTGCTTCCGTTGCTATGGCTCAAAGACAGATTTAAAATATTCAACAAAGCAAGGGTTCCCCATTTGTTGATCCCCCAAGGCAGACTGAAGCCGAGTGGCTGATGCTCCCAAATGGGTGGGAAACCATGGAAGAAACTGAAGGGAAACCAAGGGGCCCCGGCCCCCAAATAGTAAGATGACGGTTGGAAAGGGGAAGCCGGAAGTAGATGGCACAATTCCCTTTGTGTCGGTAAGGAAGCTGATGAAACCACAGGGGGCTTGTGTCATCTACTTTCGCCCATCTGTACGTTTCCTAGGGTGTTTCTCAGTTCCTGAGTGGGTCGGACCAAAAAAAGCATGCGCGTTTACCGCCAGAATAGGCTTCCCAAAGAGGGTTAATTCCACGAACTCAGGTAGCAAGTTTTGTTGCACCTGGGCGAACATTGTCACCATGGAAACCTGGTATCAACGTGGTCCCATCATAAATGATACAAAGAATCGAGGCCGTTGCGTCCAAGACGGTCTTGACTTCGCAGGAGGGCGAACATCCGCACAAATTTCAGGTTGCGTTTGAGGCGATCCATTGCGCAAAGGGAAAGCAAGAGGAAATCAAAGCCCGTTGGTCTTGCCAAATCCGCGACTCGCCCAAATCCAGTGATGAAAGCCCGACTACCATGTCCTTCCAGGACTCCTGGTTCCCTTTGTCCGGCCCCCCTTCCAAACACCCGGCGCTCGCCGAGCACGGCGCTCGATTTTCGCTTCCGGAGCGCTTGGGGAGCGTCGGGCCCATCTGCATCAAGACCATGGTGTAGCGCTGCCCGGGCAGCAGGAAGTTCTGAAGCGAAGCAGACGGACGGCGAAAGGGCGGGGGTCGGAAAGGGGTGCAAGTTGAAAGCCTGGGGCCTTTGATTGTTTTGAGGGAACCCCGGGGCAGCTGAAATGCCGCGTCCAAAAACCGCATGTTCTACAAAGAAAAACCGTTCGCGGTTCCCAGGTCCTAAATCAGCCAGTGAAATCCGGTCAAGGTGATCACTAGCCGGCCGGATCGTTCGAGGGACCCTCATACCAAAATGAGCAGCATGCCTGCGCATGAAACTTGCATTTGTACCCACAGGCACACCGGCGACCAAAACCTTGAAAAACAGTATATAGTGGGTCTGGATAGATAACAGTAACAAGATCCGTCCCCATGCGGTGGCTTCTCTAAGCAGGAAATGCAACGATGGCCATGTTGGCGTTTCCCTAAACATGGTGGTGTGCCTTTAGACGGGATATGGGATCAACCAAGTACCAACCGAAGTGGACTTGGCTCCCAAAGATTCCTGCACAAAATGATATAAGTTCCAAAAGCTGAATTAGGCACTGGATCCCCGAGTAAAGGACCTTTCTCACGACTTTCGCTGGTTCTACCCCGACCGAGATTCGGGGAGCTCATCTAGGTCCTCCAGCAGAGAGGTTAGAATAAGGGCACCCACTTTTCTTTGGTTTTGTCTATTTTAATAGGTTGGAACCCTCCCAATCAACAAAGAAACGGTAAGATCGGGCACCTAGCTGGGGGACCTAGTCATCCGATACAAAAAAAGAAGCAGCAAGATGATCCGACGCCAGCATGGAGTCCAAGCGTCCAAAGGGAAGTCCGAAGCAGCTTCCACGTCCAGCTCACCCATAGCGCCTGCCACAGGAGATTTCAAATGAAAGAGTAGGTGTCCCTTTTTGGGAAAATCGATTGGCCTGGGGGTCTTGGGCATAGGTGTCTTTTATAGGGATTCCCCTGGTCAATGGAATCAAACCAACCTAAACCAGTGCCAAAATCACCTCAAAATCACCTCAAAACCACCTCAAATCACCTCAAATCACCTCAAATCACCTCAAATCACCTCAAAATCACCTCAAATCACCTCAAATCACCTCAAATCACCTCAAAACCAACCTAAGCCACCGGAGAAATCTCGCCAAATCACGTCAAAAGGATGCCTCTAACCTTCCTGGGGAGCGCCGCCCGCGCTGCGCGCCCTTTTGGAGTTGCTAGCCATGCTTCTGTGGCTTCAAAGGGAAACCACAAGGAAACCACCAAACAGAACCAAAAGGAAACCACGAAACATATGTATATATATATATATTTATATTATGTATTTACATACACGTACATAGTGTTTCTTCATTTGTGTCCTTGTTTAATAAAAGGAGAGACTACATTGGGCTACCACTTTCTGTTGGCTATGGGCGCCCAAACTTCTTGATTTTGATTGGTCCCACTTTAGAGGTGCGGATCACTTGGGGGAGCACCCCAAGAAATAATCCGACAGGTTGATTCAGCCGGGGTATCTAAGCATACCTTTCGCAAAATCACACGTAAACAAAACCACACAAAGTAAACATTGAATCTCTCCCCAACAGTGACGGAGGCATGGAGGCTGAGAGGGCTTTGGAAGACGAAGTCTTTCCTTGCGGTTGGATGCAACGTACACTTCCGTTGGATCACCACGCAACTGTCAGCACCTCTCTCACCCTTTTGCAAGCTCGGGACAAAAGAACCCCGCCTTTGCCATTTCCCAGGGTCGCCAAGAGATCATGAGAGCCCTGGAGTTCTAAACTCCAAATTGACATCCGGAGTCGCAAGGCGACTCCACAACATAAAATCAACCAGGGGCTACATTTTACGCCAGGCTCGCAACCAGAATTCATACTTCCTGACACTTCCCCTTTGGGTTTAAACAAACAATAGCGGAACCAACTGGGGAGAGAAACACAATCAATTACGGCTCGTGGGATTAAAAAAAAAAGGCGTGCATAATGTTTGTTGTTCAGCCATTTTGGCACGAGACGATGCTGCCACACAAGGAGCAGGAGACAACGATATTTTGTTACAGGGCCCAGGGTAAAGGGTAAAACGCGAGAAAATGCTTCAGACAATTAAGGCAACTGTTGCTTGCAGCTGCAAGTTGCTGTCTTAGTGGGCAAGGGCTGACGACGCCTGCAACAAGCTGAAGGCTTCAAGCTGGTGCGCCTTTGCTTTCAGTTATCGCCTCTTTTTCTGTCAGGTTGTTTGGTTCGCACACGTGCCACCTGGGACTTGTTGCCTTATGTCTTCCTTGACATGGCGTGGCGCCGGCAAATCGCGAAGGAAACAAGAGGATGCTTGCTGTCTGGAAGAGTTGGACTAAGCGCCTCTGGAGCAGGTCACCACGCATTGGCCCACCAAAAACTCAGCCAAGAATGCATTTCGAGGCCCCAATAAAACAAGTCAACCTGACAAAGGTCTCGGTATCCGGCCTGCGGACACAGAGCTGCTGATGTTGGTGAGGATACCTAACAGGTGCAGGGCCAATATTTCTTCTCAAGTGTTTCGTTGGTCGGGGGGGTTGGGGTTGGGGGCCTTTCGCGCTTGGCTATCAATCGAACACCAGGGCTTTAGGTCCTGGTTTCCAAGCCACCAGCTCTATCCAATCAGTCCACAAGTTTATTGGTATGGTCAGGTATGAGCCCAATTCTTGGAGTGGTTCCCCAGGACCTTGAGAAACTGGGCCGGCAAATACTGGGAAGCTCGGGTGGTCCTCCCTCCCCGAAATCCGGAAAGTCGCTGGTTCACCTTCTTCAAAAAGTTGATCACTTGGGTGGTTTCTATTGGAATTCCCACTTTTGGAGGTTCCCTTAAGGAAATGTGTGCTGGAGACAAAGGAACCTGGTGAAAAGCCAGCTTCCAGATTGGAACCACTTCCTCAAACAAACTCCGTTTCAGAGCCTTTGGAGCGATCCCTGGGTGACGGCAGAAGACTTGGGCTGTCCTCAGATCCTCTGCTAAAAGTCTAACTTTTGGTGGTTTAGTGGAAGCTAGCACTAAACCCTAAAAACCTAAAGAGATGCCTGCGAGCCACCAAGAAGAGGTCCGCCGTTCCTTCAGAACCTCAAAACTGTCTATTTGCCACCAAAACGGTGGACACCCCCACTAAACCGACTAAAAACCGGAAAAACAAAAACAATCCCTAAAACCTAAGGAGCCGGATGGCTGGGACCATGGAAAGACCCCCAAAAAGCACGGCGGAGGCATGCGGAGGCTTCTGTTTCTTCGAGTTGCTGGAGGTCTCCTCCTCCACCAAGGCCCAGGTCCATTGCGCGCTTTCGCGGCCGCCGCAGCCGGGGCCCGGCCACACCTTGCCCCAGACCCGCGGCAACTCCTCGGCGCCCGCCTGCCGAAAGTCGGAGCGGCGGGCGATGAGCCGTAGAGACCCTCCAACTGGTGGTTTCGCCAAGGAAATCCCCAATTTCCGGGTTGATTCATTCCCGCTTTGTGTCATTTTTTTACTGGTCAACACGGCACCAGTTGAAGACGCTTCATAGGGAATCCCCATAAGTCGGTTGGTGGGCATATATCCATATAAGTCTAGGCCTGTTACAGGTGACCGCCTCATCACCGCAGCTTCTGTGAGACGTTTAATACTGTGGAGGATTGCGAAGTCGCTTCTCACGCCACGAAATGAAACCGAAACCATACCGTTTGTTAGCGAACCAGACGGATGGAGCATGGTATGGGGTCTGTCAAACAGGGGAACCCCTCAAGAAACCCACGCACGTTTGTTACTATAAACATATCTATATATATATATATATCAAATAATATATATATATATATACATATATGTATATGAATTTTGTTTTGGATAGTTACCCTTTTCAGGCAGGTTTAGATAGAGGGCAACCACTCTCATCGGACAGCACACATTGTGTTGGGTCCGTCTAGCTTGTTGGCTTCCCTTGGGGCATGATCCCCAAATTGGACCTCCTTTTCCCCATGTTGCCAATCCTCACCACCCCATGCCAATCAACGCTCCCGCTCGTTCTGGCCTGGTTGGAGATTGACTGGTTCGCAGTCCACCCGGAGAAGACCTGCGCTGGGAACAATTTATGTACGAAACTTTCAAATGGTTACAAACACAACACAAAACACACACACACACCAAAAATAAAAAATCAGATTCTGCAGGGATAGCGAAAGAAAGAATACAGTGTCAGCGTAAGTAACAAAACGGCAAGGACAGATGCAACACCAAAACAACAAAACCAAACCACGCACTTTGTAACCATTCACTTCCCCCCCTCCCCCCTCAAAAAAAGAAGAAGAGACAAACAAGAAAGAACGAGCGGTGCCACTACGGGGCCGTGATGGGCACTGTCGATGACCGCACGGCCACAAACCACTCCGCGAAGACGCTGGTCTGGTCCTTGCCCGCGGGGGAAAGGCCCGGGGAGCTGAATTTGCCGAATTGGGGTGGGTACCCACAAGAGTCTGAAACATACTGAAGGACTGCCTGTACAAGGGGAAATCGCTGGGAACAAGAAGCTGCCCGCTTACCAATTGGAAAACGAGTAGCCCTTTTTGGGTTGGTTTTGGAAGGAAACCAAAAGGAACAACTCATCTTGATTTTTTTGGGCGTATTTTGGAGGTGGAAACCATCTTGGACCAAAGGGAGGGGCCCCGGAAAGGGGAGCTGGAAAGGAATCCGTTCGGGAAAGGACAAAGAAAAACCACAAGAAGCACCTGCACTTTCTGTCCGTTTGGAAATATGTCGAAGGCATCTTGACCAGGCGGCAGCTATGGTGTCGACCTCTTGGGAGGCCCCAAGGCAAGAATCTTCGTTGGCAAAACATGGGATGAAGCAGCCGGTCCCAAGATATAAGCTACCAAAACCACATCCCTTCAGCGGGAAAAGCCAGCCAGCGCACATTTGGGACTACGCCCCTCTCAGGGGCAGCCAGTTGCCAGCGGCGCTGGCAAAGAGAAGCACGTCTCGGGGTTGACCATGTTTTAGTCAAAAAAAAACACCAAACAAGCAGTTGAGCCACGAACACTTGGTTCCAAAGGGTAGCTTAAAATGATGTACAGCAAGATGCCCCTTACCCTCGATATTTGTCTCAGTTCGGGCGCCCCTTTCAGAGCTTCCCATTGCCCCGAGGCCCCAGTCCTCGGAACGGACCAGCTGCAGGGTGAAGGTGTAGTTTCCCTCCGCCAGCGTTCCAGGCGCGACCTGCCAGGAAAAGGTGGGTGACTGCCGAGACACCGGGCGCGGCAGTTGCTCGGTCACTTTCTGCTCCCCTGCTGAAAGTTTAACTTTTAGTGGTTTAATGGAAAACCCATTCGTTGGCAAAAAGTTAAAGTCCTAACATCCAAGCAAAATGCAACAAAGGTTGAGGGCCTGGACACACTCAATAACAACAATTAACCAGCCCCCATTCGGTTGAGCAATAAAACACATATGGGCTACGTAGCACCCAAAGCCAAAGATTGAAACACACCAATCCCCACACCGGGCTCAAGGTATCAAACAGAAGGGTTCATGTAAGGAACCTTCACAGTCAACAGTTGAGGGAAACGAAGGCAGCCTGCTGCTGTCAGGTTTAGGTGCTCCAAACAAACTCTGCTTGTGCTTTTGTCAAGCAACCAGGGACGACGCAAGGCCCGCAACATCTCTTGGTGAATGATAATAACTTGCCAAACAAACATGTGGGCTGCTTCTCTAAAGGTTTTCCTGAGATCGCACACTCACTTTGAAGACGTGCTCGGGTATACCCTGGAGTTTCTTTCTTGTTGGCTGGCTTCCTGTAACCTGGCCATAGAAGCATGGGATTCCTCTCGCTTCAGTTTTCCAATCAATTGGACAGGACATTCAGGTTTGGAGAAGTTTCCGTGATGTTTTGTTGGAACAACATATTGTTTTAGAGCAATATTTGCTTTTCGGATCCCGAGGAAGGTTGTATAAACCAGGGTTTAAGTAGGTTTTAACCGGGTGATTCTCAACATCCCATGGAAAACACATCTTCCAAAAGCCAGGGAACAACAAACAAGTTGGCTTCCCGTGCGAATGAGTTTGATGGCATCAAAAGAATCGCTGTTCAAAGCCAGTTGACCAAGTTTATCCAAAGGTCAACTGTTGATACTGTGGATGGACGAAATCCTGCACCACTTGGAAACCATAGGAAACCATTGTTCTTTGGTATTTACAAGGGAATCATCATTCCAGGGCTTCTTGGGTGGTGCGAAATGGATTTCGTCCATCCACAGTATGTCCGTGTCCTTTTCGACGGCCGGGCATGCGAACCCGGTACCACTTGACAGCTAAAAGAGATCGCCTGTGGATGCATCAGATCCCGCACCAGTAGGGGCAGAAATACAAGCCCGATCAATAATTTGGAAAAAACTGCCTGCGCGGTGCTGAAACTTGTCCATCCCTGCGTGACCACAACCCAAGGTTGTAGTGGAGTTCCACCGGGGCAAAGGGCAATCTACTTTTGGTAAAGGATTTTAAAGACTTGGTTGACGTTGGAAGGGGAGCACAAATTTAACTTTTAGCAGTTAAGTGGGGATTTCCCACTAAACCACAATAAGCAAAAATGTAGAATGTTTCCCAACAACAACCATGAAGAGGGCGCCCCTCAGAAAAGAAAAAAAAAGCAAACCAAAACAAGGGAAATGCGATTTTAACGACTACACCCCCCACAGAAACGGGAACTCCAAGGAAACTTGTCATTTGTGTTGCCTGGAGCACTGCAACCCAGGCCTGCAGAAGAAAGAAAAAAACACAGCAACTCTGGAGGTAACTTCAGACTAGGCAAAACCCTCAACACAACTCCTCTACCCAACTCCAACGAATTCCCCCCTTCCCCCCCCCCCCGGTCCTATTTGTTTTATGCCTCTTTTTGGGTTGGACGCCCATTGGCCTGGAACCCTCCCCCCCTTCTGTCCGTCTTTTTGGGTTGGACGCCCCAAAACCGGGAGGTCACATAAGTTGGCCTGGAAGATCTTCCCGAGGCTGCCGGTGCCATCAGTGTGCACCCACTGCCCCGGCCCGAAGTTGGGCAAGCGCCGGCAGGTGCCGTTCACACCTGAAGCTCTGGGTATACTAGGTCCTCCAGTAGAGAGGTTAGAATAAGGGTACCCGATTTTTTCCTGTAGTCTATTTTAGTAGGGAAACCCTCCCAACCAAAAAGGGGAGAGAAGGGCACTACTGGGGGACCTAGTACATGAACAAGCGTGCCCGGTTTGGTCCATGCTGGAAGCATGCCAACATGCACCACCGGAGCAAGGCTGTACTTGGAATTGCCATCGCTGCGGGGGGGTCCCGGCCCCCGAATAAGCCCCAAGGATCCCAAAATAGGAACCCTAAGCAACCCTAAGGGTGTTCTGTGATAGGTCTGTGGATGGACGAAATCCTGCTCGCACCGCATAAGAAACCCAGAAATGATTCGATTCCCCAGTAAATACCCAACACACGTTATGGTTTCAACCATGTTTTTCGTGGTGCGAGAAGCGGCTTTCGCATATTAAACGTCTCGCATAAGTTGCGGTGATGAGGCGGTCACTTTTAACAGGCCTAGACATGTGGATTTATGCCCACCAACCCACTTCTGGGGATTCCCTACTGTGAATGGACGAACTCCTGCAACCAGCATCTTAGGCTTCTGAACAGTGGTGCGAAATGCATTTCGCAACCATCCACAGTAGTAACTGTTTTTTTTTGTCTTTTCCGTGGCTGTAAATCCCATTTAGCCTCTGGATTCCCATGGTTACAGGCCATGGTTTCCCATGCTTCACAGGTGGTGCAGGATTCCGTCCATCCACAACAGGTAGGGAATCTGGGTGTTGGGAACGAACCTTTTGGGGATTCCCTCAAAGGAAACCACAGGGAATGAATGGTTTTGTGTCGGGATCATGTTATTTCTTAATTTTTGAGAACCGCAAAGAACATCGTCCGGGCCCGGTCTTCAAATGAGGGACGCCCATTGGGTGTTGTCTCTTTTTTCGATTATTTTGGCCTCCTTGTGTGAAACAATCCAAAAAGACAAGGGAACGCCTAGGAGACGTTCTAAACCGTAGGTGTCAAAATGTTTGCCTGTGGGGATTCCAGGCCTTTCTATGCGGGTTGGTCTGATAAGCTAAACTGCTCCTTGGACGGTGAGCTCCTTTATTTGCACGGATCAAGTGTTGTTGGCACCTGGCAAGGATTGGCCAGAAGGGAACAGGCATAGTTGTCAGTTGTGGGCCGGGAGATGCTGGGATAGGAACCCTGGGTTTCAGCAAACTGGTGAACTGCTGGGAACTAAGCACAAGGGTTGAATCCTCAACAACAGCTTCAGGTTTTGTTGCAGTAAAACTTGCCGGTTGTTGATTCTGCGCGTTGAAGGCGTGACAAAGAGGCGGTAGTGACGCAGGCTCGAGCTGAACCCACGTCCGCTGTCAGGAATCTCCATGTAAAAGACCGACATCATAATTTCGCTCGTTTTAACCAAGTAAAACCACCAAATACACAGAACTATGCAAGCCCATGAAGCGTCACCTGTTGGCACGTGCCACTTCGCACGCGCAAGCCAATATCTACAGCCAACATACCATAAAATGTGTGAAGTGGATGGGATTCAAGCCTAGACGTTGACTCTCAGCTTAAAAGGTTGGATCTGCAGAAGATGTGCACAATACTGTGGACAGAATTTCATTTCGCACCACCCACAAAACCCTGGAATGATGAGACTCCCTTGTAAGGCCCGTAAGTACCAACAAACACTGGTTCATAGGTGGCCTTTTGGAAAAATAGATGGCCCTGGTAAATGAAACAAAACCCTTCTAAACCAGTGCCATCAGTTTTTAACCAGGCTCACCTAAGAAGGACACCTATGCACTGGCTTGTCATGGCTTCAAAGTGGTGCGATATGGATTTCGTCCATGTACGGCATGTTGCTGTTGCTTTTACTGGGCATGGTGAGGCTCTCCATTTCCCGGGGACAGCTGATTCTGAGTAGCATAGTAGCATGACCCTCGTCGATGGTGGACCCCCTCCCCACGCATAAAGACCCAGAATAGACCTTCAACACAAACAAGCACAACGGAGTAGACCCTATTGTCCTCCATTTGCTTAAGTCCCCTGGAAAAAAATATCCAGTAGTGATACATTCCCTTTAAAATTCAACAGGGGAAATATTATTAAGGGGGTGTTCCCTCCAAAGTGATGAATCCCATTAAAAGGGGACACCCCCCAATCAAAATCAACCAGGGGTTGATTCATCCGGGGTAAACATTCGACCCTATCGTCCGCTGGGGCCGTCTTCCCTTCGAGGACCCCCGCCACAGCATAAATCGACCGAGCGCGGTACTCGGTTCTGCGCTTAGGCCATGCAAGCGAGCCCCGCCTTCTCCAGCACAGCTCCAGTAGAAGAACAGCTCCGCGCCTCTCAGGGAGAGAGGCGTGTAGCCATAGATGTCCTTTTTGGTTGAAAATAGATGGCCCTGGTTGATTGAACCACCAGGTAACTTGGAATCGCCCTCTATTTTTCAATTAAGCCAACCAAAAAGGACACCTATGCATGTAGCAATGCGGACTGGTCCCAGGCACTGCAGGAAAAACCAAAAAAACACGGCTGTGGCTAAAACTGCGCTTCCTGTGGTAGCAATGCGGGCTATTCTTGCGACTACTTTGTACTTCAATGTGAATCCCCTTCGCGTCACAGGCAGGCCTAAAACCGGCCAACCGTTTTCACGGTCGAAACTCCAGTGTCCTTAACAAGCGGACAGCGCTTGCAGATTGGAACCGAACTGAAGGTGCCATTTGGGTTTGTCTCCTGGGAGTACCCCGCAGTGATCCACATCAAAAACCCTGACCCTGCGGATGGACAAACGCATGCAGTAGTTGGTAGGCGGTTTACCTCATTCATAGGGCTTCATCCACCACAAGGGGTGAAGGATCGGATGGACAGCGCTCTTCCAACACAAGCCGTTTGAAGGACCTGCATTTGGAAGCGCAAACGGGAAGAGGCACTAGGAGAAGTTGCGATGGCCAATACCCTGGTATCTTGGAGCGTGATCAGCACCAAAGTATCTCTTACCTTGGCTGACGATAGCGCCACAAAAAACACACGCTCCCCATGTCGACTTCTGGACGCTTGCAACGGAAGGCGTCGGTGCATAACCCCTCAAGTCGACATCCACCAGTGGCTTCCGATGAGACTCCTCGAAACTTCCGGCCCAAAAAGGTTTATGAAGGCGGCAACTATATGGCTGTGGCTCAAAATTCAAGAGCTAGGGTTACGCTGGTTTTGGTCCATGTTTCCACTTACCAGGGCAACCCATTTTGGAATTCCGGGTTTTTGAGCCATAGCCATATGCCAATTTTCCGAGGCGAATTGGTGGAAAGGTTTTGAGGGCCACCAAGGCCAGGTCTGAGAACCTGGAGGCGGGAGAGGGTGAGAAGCCTCTGGGATTGCGCCTGGGAAATGACCTCATTTAGGCATATGTCCGGGATAAAGTCATGTTCTGTTGGACCATGTTGTGCCATTTCCCAAGGGTGGAACCCCAGGGTGTAATACACAAACCCTTAGACTAAGGTACCCTCAGAGGTTGAAGGGGCTACGGGATCTGCAGCTGCCATAGAACCACTCTCAAGGAGATATACCCCCCCTCCCACTTTAAGGGGAAAATGGTCTTCCAAGGGTTCCTCTCAGGTTCCATGTTAATGGGAGGGAGTGTACCCTGTTTTCCGTGCGGGCAATGGCTTGGGGATAATGTTGACCCATATGAATCAACCCTGGGTTAAATGTGGGGAATCAGACCACTCCTGGAGGGGAAGAAATAAACTGGGGTGGATTAATATGGGGTCAACATAAGTGGAGACCATGTCAGAAGAAAGGCTTCATTTAGCTCCCCCGAGGCATGTCCATCCCAACGGTGGGCCTAGCTCATCGAACGATGTGGAGGCATCCTTAGCCGAGACGAGTGGTGGGCCAACTTGCTTTGGACTGTGACCCAAACGCTGCAAAAGACCCACTTTTGGCCAGGTCCTCCAGTGGAGAGGTTAGAATAAGGGTATTTGTTTTTCTTAGTTTATTACTCTCCCAGCCAAAAAAAGTTTGTAAAAGGGCAGTGCTGGCAGACCTAGTGGGGGTTGACCATGTTTGGTAGCCTAAGGGTGGGTCACGACCCCTCCCATGGAGAACACCGACCAAAAAGAGGGAAGGTACTGTGGATGGACGAAATCCTGCACCACCTAAGAACCATGGCAAACCGGTGTTTGTTGGTAAAAACAAGGGAATCAGCATTCCAGTGACTCTTGGGTGGTGCGTCCACGTTGAACAACTGCTTCACTGTTACAAGGCTCCACCTAGATTTACCCCCGAACAAATATCACCCCGACTGAGTCAACTGTCTCCCCCGAATGGACCAGTCGACTGCCCAGGTTGCCTTTCTGGAGCTCAAGTTGCGGACCTGCCGAAATGCTCCAAAGAGGCATCGCAAAGACCCGATTGTTTTGCCACCAAAATGGCCTTCCCCAAGAGTGACTGAAATCCGAAACGGGACTGTGGAAGTGAGTTGCCCTCCCATCCACAAACATGGAACCTCACAACTGGCTTTCATTGGACGGAATTAAATGGATTCCCCTCTTTAAAAGCATTTATTTGCATAGAGGGTGCCATCCAACCACCTGACGTGAAAAGGGAAGGGCCAGTTTGGCACCAGCGAGTTTGGGCGCGCAAAGCGTCCTGTATACTCTAAGGGTCGCGACCGATTTTGCGGCCTTAAAATGGGCTGTGTGTTTTTTTGAGCACCCCTGAAAAGTCGGGGTTCTTGTCTGCATTGCAGGGGTCATGACCCTTAGGTAGGACAATTTCCCTGGGATCATAACCCTTAGTGCAGGACCAGTTTCCCTTCTTAAAGGGGAGCTGAGGAGGGTTTTCCGCAACACGGCTCGGCTCTTCGGCTCGCTCTGCACGCGCCAAGCGTCCAGGGTGAAGCCGCAGCTCTCCGGCGCCACGTTGGGCCCGTGGATCACTGCCACCTGCGGCAGCCGCTCGCGGACCGTGAGCTGAAAGCCCTGGCGAGGCGCCGGAAGCGCCGGGCGAGTCGAACGAGCCGCAGAGACGAAGCGGGCCGACGGATGCCTCGAATTTCTAGGGGTTTGATTCCTAGAGAAAGACCTCAAGGCCCGAAGGGCCGAATTCAAAAGGCCTTCGCAAGATGCTGGTTCTTCTAGCGGTTGGTTCCTTGTCCATTCTGTTTTCAGCCATCGTTCTTTTCAAAAAACCGATCGCCATTTTTCGGTTTGTTGGTGGTTTTCTAGAAAGAAGGATCCTGGAAAGAATGGAGAAGTTACCTCTTGATGAATGCCCCTTCGGCACCCGACGGAACTGAACCATCCCATGGGTTTCTTGGTTTGTCTCCACGGAGCTTCACTTCTTTCTTGGCTCAAAATGCCTTGCCTACTTATCTCCAATTCGTGGTTTGGAGCCGAATCGGTGATTTGGTGGTGTTCCAGAGCGTTTCCCATTCACCATCTACAAAAGTGAGGGGTTCAAATCCAAATCCAAACCACCAATCCGACTCGCCAACTCAGGGTTACCTCGACAGTATGGGTTTTTGGGTTTGTCTCAAAGTGGTAGACAAAAAGGGACCCCTCAAGAAAAGGCAGACCCATATGGATGAGGAAAATTGTGGCCCTGGCAATGAAGGGTTGGAAGGCAAGTTGGTTAGGGAACCCCAAGGCAGGTTTCCCTTTAGATCCTACAAAAACGCCGTTGCGGCAACGGAATCGGATTCATCTCGTGCCGTTTCTCCCGGTTTAAAGGATTTCCCACGACCAATCCCAACGGATGGCCCAAAAAAGGTGCCCGTTCCGACCCGCTGCAAAGAACGGACACTGCGATTATTCACCACGTGAATCCATGTAGATATCTACATGGAGGTAACATTTGTCATTTGTTGTTTAACTTGTGGTTGTTAAGCAGGACATGGCCAGAAATTAGAAACAAACACAGCCGACAAAACTCAAGCTAAAAGCAATGAGGTTCGAGCAGCAAGGAGAGATATCTTTGATGGTCTTGACGGGCCACCTAGGTACCCCAGTGCAGAACCCCAGCGGACATGGGAAAAACAGGGCAATAGTGGCGCACTCAAAGATATCATTTGTTGAAAGCTCTTCCAATTTGAAGGAGAACGGGGAACCGCCGGATATTTGTGGACTTCCTGCGCGGACCACTAAAGTAGCTCCCTCAAAAGGCTGAAAGTCCAATCATTGGGAAAGTGAGAACAAGGGCACCTACGTCTCCAATCTCCCGCGGAGCTGGGCCCCGGAATCCGTGAGCTCGGAGTCCATTGAATCATATTGAATCAACCAGGCGCACCACGACGACTGGGAAATGACCTTCCAAAACATGAATGCTACAGAAAAGCCACCTGACCTGGGGCTTCCCTTTGAAATCAACCACCCTCCCACCCCCAAACATGGCACCTGACAGGGACGCGGAAACATGATCTGCCAGGTACCCTCCCACGTGCTAGAAGGGAGGGAGCCCCAACAACAATTGGGCCCTCCAGTAGAGAGGTTAGAATAAGGGTACCCTTTGGTCTGTAGTCTATTTTAGTAGGGGAACCCCCAAAAAGTTGGTAAAAGGGCACTACTGACGGACCTAGTAGGGAGGAAGGTTCAACAGCAAGGCTGAGCCCAGCTTACCCCATTTTCAAATCTGCGGCCCTGGTGGCTCCCCTAAAACCCGGGCGCTCGGCGCCTGGGTCCCGGCGGTGTCGGCGGAGGCTCGGAGCTGCCAGGCGCCCACACCAAGGCTCCCCGAGACCGGGGCCCGCCTCCAGGCCGCGTTTCTGCAGGCCATGGGCGGCTCTTCTTTGATGGTACCCCTGATTCCCTCATGAGCCGAAGGGACAACCAGGGTTTCTGGGCCTTTTATGGGGGGTTCTAAAAAAAACCCTTGGCTTTGTTTTTGAGAAAGGAACCATGGTGTTGGGCCTCTTGAGCGAAGTCCCCAAAGAAAAGACCCCAAATGGGGAACCAAGATGGTGTTTGGGCCTTCTGGGGGTCGCTCAATCAAAAACCTTTTCTCCCTCATGAGCCGAAAAGGAAAACTCTTTTTTGTGCCTTTTGTGGGGTCCTAAAAAAGACAGACCCAAATGGTTGAACATCTTGGAGTCAAAGAGTGCCACTTGGGCGAATTTGGCTAAGTCAATTACAATCCCATTTGGGGGGTAGGCACACAAGGGGGATGGGTGAGAGCCCCAGATCAGACACTTTTTGGGCGTTGACTTTCAGGGAAGAAAGTCTCAAGATAGGCTCCTTGAACCATCTAGGTCCTGCTGTAGTAGAGAGGCTAGAATAAGGGTAGCCTTTTCTCTGTAGTCCATTTTAGTAGGGGAACCCTCCCTACTAAAAAGGGTAAAAGGGCACTACTGGCGGACCTGGCTATGGTGAGCCAGTTTTTTGGACTTTTGCCAGGAAATCGAGTCATGCCCTTGGGTTTCTGAAGGGTGCGTTGGATGGATCCAATGGAGTTCACGTCACCATCCACAGTACTGCGGATGGACGCGACATCCATTTCGCACCACTTGGAAACCATAGGAAGCCATTGTTGGTATTAGGGAATCATGATTTCCGGGTTTCTCAGGTGGGATTTCGTCCATCCACATCTAGAGGGACCCTCCGAGAAGGTTTCTGCGGGAATCGGGAGGAGCTCGCAGCTCGGAGATGCAAAAATTCACTGAGCGCCCGAAACCCCAGACGTTTGGTTCCGCCTGGTGCCAACGTGATGTGGTAGGCCAGACGAAATTTTCACCCCCCCCCTGAAATACAATTCCGAAAATTAAATTATATGAAACTTCTTGGTGCCAACGTGTTTCTTGGCGGCGATCAAATCCTACTGGGGCCCAACAATTGGTTTTCAACGTATTCGAACATCGCCCCCAAAAGGAGGGTCACTTAGGATTTGCGAATCGAAACGCCAGGTCAGGCGAAACTCGAATCGCCGGAATACAAAAAGAAAAAGAAAAAGAAAAAGAACACATAATAAAGGGAAGGTGAAATTGCCCATCCTGGGGCGTGGTGGCATCATGTTTCTTCAACAACGTGAAGTGGATGTGACCAGCAAGTTGACATATAGGCGTCTTTGCCTTTGTTGTTGCAAACGGAAGCCACCAGGAAACAACGGGGAAACCTGCACAGAACTCCCATCTGCCAAAAAAGACTGACTGCCAAGACACCATGGCACTCGCTCGGAAGCCTTGGACGGTGGCTTCCCGAATTTTCTGGGACCACTTTACCCAAAAAAAAACTGCGGCACGCTACAGCAGGTGGCTTGTAGGGGCCCATTTGGGTGTCTTTGTGTGATGCTGCCGCGTTCTTGTTGCGGTTGCTTTGAAGGAATATCAACACAAGGATCCCCGCCTGGAACAAAATGAAATAACTTGAAGGTCGCACAGTTGGGGACAACGGCCCGATCTATGACCTTGAAGGGAGGGGAGATCCCATTTTCAAAAGGAGACCTGCCATCTTTCAGGGCCTCGTTTTTCTTGGGGTGAAACGCGTCTTGGATGCTCTCACGCTGTTCCAGCTGCAACATGCGACCTGAACGGCGGAGAAACTGGACAGCGATTTCCGTATTAGGCCTACCATGGCCTCCCTGAGGGTTGGGGGAAGGTAACAAAAGAAAAAGAAAAAGCTGGGAGCCTACCCGTTGCACAGCGTGCATTTCTCATAACCCCCTGATGGATGGGCACAGCATATCCGCCTCGTCGTCTTGATGGGAGAAGGGCCGACGGCTTTTCCCCAACCCTTGCATGATCAGGATTCCCTAGGGATTCCGTATTCTCAACACTGGTTTGGCCCTTGACCGCCTACAAAAGCTAAGCTTTTAGCCCTCCATGCCGCGGTAGCACGCTAGCCCTCCAGGCACGCTGGTTTTCATGCGCTCGGGGAACAGACATGTTCCCATTCCGTTGAAGGCCGCTCGGCGAAACAATCCAAGGGCAGCATGTGGTTGTTTTTTCCTGTTCGGGGGCCTACCATTGAAGTCCAAAAGGGAAACTTGGAAGCTCCCTGGGTCCCTTCCAACCACCAGCGAATGCAATGCACCCCATCTACACCAGTGGAACCCACACATGTTCAACCGAACGGACGAAAACAATTGTGCTCCACCTAAGAACCCATGGTTGAACTCATTGTTCGTTGGCATTGCAAGGGAATCAAATCCCTCCCCTTGGCTTTCTTTCGAGGTGCGAAACGGATGGATTTCGCAACCATCTACAGTACACGCCCTCAGGCTGACAGCCTCAAGCTCCCCCTCTTGGCCGATCCTATAACACCAAGTCTTCCATTTCGGGATCTTGGGAGCTTCCATGGAATCGCCTGCTTCAAAGGGGCAGGGTACTTAGTAAGTGATAAGTAACTATGGGAAAACAAAAACCCACTTGGGAGACTTATAACCATGGCAAGTGGGTTATAACCCTGGTTACTAACCACTTACTAAGTCCCCCGCCCCTTTAATGTTGACCCCGGATTAATAAACCCCCGTTTATTCATATGGGGGTGTTGCCCTCCAAAAGTGACAAATCCTCAAAGAATCCAGGGACACCCTCATATTGATAAACAGGAGTTTATTAATCCGGGGTCAACATTAAGTGGAGGATGCTTTGTTTTTGGACCAGTCCAGTCCCAGCGGCATTCAGAGGCAGCCACTCCGAGCTATTCGCAGTTCGGTAGTCCCAGGTCACAGCCGCGGTCTCGGACGGCAAGTTGGAGGCCTAACTTGTGCGAAGCCTCCCTGCAGGGAACCCGTCAGGTAGTCATTTTTCCAAATAGAGGGGCAAATGAGAAATGGGTAACCCTGAATTGCTTGGCTGGAAATAGGACTCGAAGTTACCTGTCTGGTTCCATGTGAATTGGTGGGAGGGTGATGGGAAGCCCCTCCGCTCCAAACCACCAAATAGAGGGAAGCTGATCACTTCCGATCGCCTGGCTGGGTCTTGTTACCACTCAAATGATCCAAGGCGCATGTGGAAAATTGGGGAGCTATACCGGTCATCGTAAAGCTGTTGGTGCTTTGGTCTATGGGGGATCTCCACATGGGATCTCCGAATGGGGATCTAACAGGTGACTAAAGTCCGAAATGCAACTTGGGGAGTGCACAGCACTCAGTCTTGAAAAGGTATCAGATGTCCCCCCATGTCCGTGTGGTTTCACTTCGGGAGAATCAGAGCTTGAGGTCTTAAACATCCAGGTTGAAGGTGGCTGGCGCAACTGCCTTTCTGCCTGGGGTGAATAACTTCGGGAAGGTTGGGTGTCACCTCAAATCACTTTCAACCCAACTCCAAACCGCGAAGCTTCCACTTTCCAAGCCCTGCAACTTCCAGTTGCTTCAGCCTTTTGGAGGAAAAAAACGATATTTCCAGTAGTGATCGATTCCTTTCAAAACCAACAGGGAAAAAACTATAATTCTTAACCAGATGGAAGGCAATGGGCAAATCACACATGCGATTTGCTCAGGCAACCTGGTGGATCCACACCTTGTGCTGCCCTTGCAAGCGGAGCTCGGCTCCCACTTCTGTGACCCGGCGCGCGAAATTTACCCGAGGCTGGTGTGATGCATGTGCGCTGCTTAGCCAGGTCGCTTCCCCGAATAGAGGACTCGTCCTCAAGTCCTACCAGTGATGGCTTCTACAACCCCATGAGATCAATCAGTTCCCCCGAAACTTGGCCCAAGGCTAGCTACACCGGAACCCATTTGCTGACTCTGTTTCATGTTCGCCTGAAAAAAAACAATGGACCCTATATTCATCAACCCCAGCTTATGAATGGGGGGGTGAGGGCCCCTCAACAAGTGGCCTGATTCCCCACAGTTCACCCAGGGAGAAGCACCCCCCCTATTTACAAACTGGGGTTGATATTTTTCCATGGGGTCAACATTAGGAAGGTCCACCGATCTGTTTCCTTTGCCTCTCAAAAAAAAAAAAAAAACGGATGCGCATCCGCCCGAGCCCTTGGCCGCTCCGCAGGCTGATGGGTCCGCATACCTGTGCAGACCCCATTGGCCATAGGGTCTACAGAACCGCCTTGGTTTTTGGCAGCTGGGTGTGTCTCTTTTTTGGCGGCCGCCCCCCCAAAATAATAATAATAATAGTAAATAAATAAATATGTGGATTTTCGAATTCTGACCGTCCTTCAAAACCACAACAAAAACAGGGCCCGCTCTAACAAAGACACATCCAGCTGATTTAAAAGGAAGCTCCTTTTGTTGGCGAAGTGGGAAGCTCATGGGGTCTTTCCCAGAGGCCCCACAAAGGTGGAATCCGTTTCCACAAGTGCTCCCGATTCTCCCTGAAGGGCCCTCAAAAGGAAGGATAGGGCAACCGACGGACCAACCCCAGTTTTCTGCTGCGAGTTTGTCATTCTTTTGTTCGGAGCGATGGTTTGGGTGAACAAGAAGTTGCAGCCGTGATCTAAAACAGAAGGGGCTCCGGGAAGCTTCCACAACTTAGATACTCATGGACCGCTCGTTTTGACAGTGTGCTCCGCAATCAAAGCTTGGTATTAGCTGAGTCGACCCAAAACCAGGTAACAACTACAACCGGCAGATATCCTTCTCTATTTATGGCTGGGACTGTTCCTAAAACTTGTAAACCTGCAAACCAGTGGGTGAACCTTCTGCCTCTGAGCAGTCGAAAGGACCTCCACTCCGATGGTTCTGGCGGGAACCTGCGTCGGGTACTGCCAGGGCCTGGGTCAGTTCCTATGGGCTGGAAAAGGACGGCTTCTCAATATGGACAAGCTAAAAAGTGGGTGGTGGACATGAATCCTCACCCCAATGATGTCCAAACCAAACAGTCCCCAATTGGAATGCTTGTATCTATATATCCATGCATACGTCTATATACACATAAACTTGCTTGACGTTGGGAGGGGAGCAACAATTTAAATTTTAGCAGTTAAGTAGGGATTTCCCACCAAACCACAATAAGCAAAAAATGGGAAGCATGCTTCCAAAACAACAAGCAGCTGACTTGCGTTTGCTTCACATCCTGCTGTGGAAGCAAGCACACAGAAACACGCAATTCACTCGCTCACTTCACATGTAAATACCACATATATTTTGTACATCCCCCCCATTCCCAGGGCGCCCCGCGCGCGCGCCTCGTGGCGACGCTGAAGGTGGTGCTTCCGCTCAGGGCGATGGCCTTCTCAGTGACGGTGCTCGGGTACACCGGCGGCTGCGCCGCGGAGTTCACGGAGAGCGGTGCCTCCGCGGCAGGCGAAAAAAGGGGTCTGTTGACTTACCCCTTAAAACTCCCTGCGCCCTGGGGAAGTTCTCATCGTTTACAGACATATAGCCCATGTTACCCAAAAAGTTGAAAAGTTGTGTTTTTAAGAGGTATGTTGAGGTTGCAACCTCAAAGGACAACTAAGGACACGCGGCTCAACTTGTGTGACAACCAAAAGCTCATGTTTAAAGCCAACAAGAAGAAATGTGGATGGTTGCGAAATCCATCTCGCACCACTTTGAAAAATTTGCAAACCAGTGTTTGTTGGTAATTGAAGAGGACACATCATTCCAGTGATTCTTGGGTGGTGCAGGAATTCGTCCATCCACAGTTGAGGGCAACCTTGGAAAAGTTGGTTTAAAGAGACAAACCAACAGGTAAACCACATTTTTTTGGAGTCCCCCTATTTTGACTCACGCCTGTGTGGGTGCGCCTTTTGTGGGACCCCGCCAGCATTCAAAACCCAGCAAAAGCGGACCCAAAGGTCGGACACGGGGCTCATGAGCTGTATGGGCACTAGCCAACTGAAATGGGCACACATCCAAGTTTTCATGAGCCCCCACATGCGCTCGCACACTATTATATGGCACCCATGATTTTTTTTAAATGAGGCACGACCCTCAGGATTCGGGAAGATGTCACGATCCAGATATGGAAAACCTGGCCAAAAGCACTCCCAGCCGGGAAATCGAGTAAAAGACCTTCTCCGAGAACCATTCTGGTCAAGGAAGGCCTGCGAATGCGAGCTCGGCTCTCGCTTTGCAAGGCAACTGCAGACAAGTATACCAGCCCAGATCAGTCCAAATTAAGTCAATATAGTGGCGAGAATGGTCCGCAAGCGCTGGTGACCGAGCAGGATGGCCCCTGAGGAGATCGTAGGATTGGCCTCTGTAGGTCAAGTATAACAACCCACCTTTATGGGTTCCCTTTCTTGAGGTGTCGTCGACATGTTCCATGTTTGGATTCAAAAGTTGCCCGTCACTTTTTGAGTGAAGCTGCAACTGGCGGTCCGAAGATGGGAATTGGATGCACCCCTTGAATTGTCATAAAGCCCCCCCAATCCCCCCAAACCCCCCCCCAAAAAAAAGAACATGAACAAAAGGCCGCCCTGCCAAGGAGCAGTCGCACTGTGCGATAGGCCGAGCCAGTTGGTGACCGTCACAACCACCTATCAGCGCCCGCAAAATTCCTTGGGAATGGGGCCCAACCGTTAAGCCAAATGGACCCCTTTTGGATGGCGAAAGCCAACAAAAACACAAACATGTTCAGGGGCCCACCCAGTCAAAAAATGGAGGGAACAACTTGGCTATGGCAAACTCAGTTCCGATTTGGTTGGCCAAACAAGTCTAAACCTTTGGACGCGAGTAATGAGGGTGTCCGCCCTCAAAAAATGGCGGCCAACCCCCATTGATGCCTACCAAATTGGTCCACTATATTAGGTTGATCTTGCCCCCTGAGCAAAGAGACCAACCCTTTTGTCTGTTTCTTCAAGGACTTTTTGGGGCGATTCGGCCACACCAAAGACCGAATCGCTAATCGCGAAAACGGGCCAGGCCTATAGGGAACCCTGTGGACGAGTCGGTTGCATTGCTGATATCCTTCAATCTGCAAACACACAACTTTATGAGCATCTGCACTCCTGTGTCGCGGATTGCAAGCGGAAGAGTTAACCCCCCGCCCCTCAAACAACTGAGGTCCCTGAAGCAAAGTTGGAAAAGTATACCAATACTAAACTAGGTATGGGGAATACAGTACTAGTTTAGAATTGCATTTTTTGGGGGGGTCTTTTCAATTGACTTTAGTATTGCAACTGCACATTTGGAGTTGGAGAGTCTTTGCAGTGGATTTTAGTATTGCAAAGTCAACCTTGGAATTGGCTTGACTGCTTTGGCTGCTTCGGCTGCTTTGAAGAGGCTGGGATGGGGAGCTGGTGCTTTTGGAAGGGGGCTGGCCAAAAACACTTTATTTTGGGGACCGCTCTCAAATAAAGTTGTTGCATGAGATTCAGGGCTCTCGTGTGGTACCCCTTTGTGGGATTGATTCTGTGTTTTGTTTGAACAAAGATATTAAACAAAAACATGAAGTCTGGGAACTCCTGTAGTTTTGAGCATCACCCAAAGAAAGAACTTGCTTTAGCAACAACGATGAGGGGATTCTTCTTGAAGAGGCTGGGATGAGCTGGTGCTTTTGGAGGGTGCGCAACAAACTTTATTTAGCATCCATTGACTAATCAGTCCGGGGCCGCCAAAAACACTTTATTTGGAGACCAATTAGTAATCGTAGGTGGGCTTGACTGGCAGCCGGTTCTCCAGGCTGAAGCTCGAGGAAATGACTCGCCTTGGGCCCTTGTCACGGGAAAGCCCCGCCTCCACGCTGGCGTTCCCGGAGCCCGACCAGTCGCTCACCGCGGTGGCTGGGAGCTCCACCGTCAGCGCGGAGCTCGCGTTGAGGATGGCCTGGCGCACCGAACCAACGGGCCACGTCGATCCGACTTCGAACCAGCCCAGGAAACCAAAATTTCGAGGGGGGGGGGGTTCTTCCACTTGCGTGTTGTTGTTTGTTCTTCCTTTTTTTAACGACCCCTGCGAAAAAGGAGGAATACTATTTATCCAGTAGCAAAACCGATTCTATCTAAAGACCAACAAAGGCGAGACAACACATAGTCTTAAGCAAATGGAAAGGTTGTCCGAAGACCCTAGTGCCGCCTTGTGCGGCCGTTTCATGGCAATGCCAGAAAAGTGATATCCCTCAAGGGTCGAAAAAAAAAACAGCCAAGGGTCAAGAATCAACCAAGTCCAGTCGGCTTTGCTTTGACTCGTGGTTTCGGTGGGTTGTGTTGGAGCCAGTGGCATGGCCCCCATTCCAAGCAATCCATTGGGGATAAGTTGATCTCACTTCCTGGGTGGATTGACATTTTCCACTATGGTCCGAACCCAAAAGGTTCAAAGGAACTCAGCCAGTACGTGATACATACCTGGGAAGCCCATGTGTGCGAAAAAAAACGCCTTCGAGCAAAAAGCACCAAATTTTGGTCGTCGCTGTCTCGAAAAGACCGAAAAAAGACACACAAACGGCTTCACAGGTACCTGGGAAGCATTCAAAAATGAAATGTCGCACCCCTTGAAGGCTGATTTGCAATGCAAGGGCTGGGTGCGGCCCATCTTGAGAGGCATTATGATACCTAGATGTGCCGCTCCCCCAGTAGATTAATACGGAACCGGGGGACCCATTTCGTGGATTCCACAGTTGCAGAGGGGCGCAATCTGGGTTGCCCAAAGGATCCTGAAATGAACAGCTCGCCTTTTGGAACCTGAACTAAACATGGACCAAGTCAGAGACACCAAAAGCTCTTTTTCCCCCTCTTGAACATCACCCCACCAAGAGGAACCTTTTCCGCCTTTCCAAAAAAAGTGACGCAACCATCCAACAGAAAAATACGGGAAGCCCAGGCATTGAAGAAAACAAGTGAAATCGCGCCGGACACCCTGTGGATCTCATGATGCTCCCATGGTTTGCGATGGTGGGACCTTGTCGAGACTTCCTGTACCTGGACGTCTTTGGCAAATCCACATCCGTCACGCACGGAAACCCGAAAAAGGAACCATCCTGCAATTTCCAGGATTGGATTGCCTTTGCTTCGTATTCAAGTCCGGGCTTTCTGTGCGAACTCCCCCACCCAAAAGATCAGCTTCTCTCTAATTGGTTGTTTGGATTGGTGGTGTGGGGATGTGAACCCAGGTTCATTCCTTTTGAAGCCAAATGAGGAAGGCACCCCCTAACCTCCAAACCACCACTCCAAACCACCAAGTAAAGGCAAGCACCATGGCGTGGAGCAACGCGTCCCCCGCAAAAACAAAAAATCCTCGGTTCGCATGGCGCCTCTAGCGCGGGGGCCGTGTTCGGCGCCGTGAGGCGCCACTGCGCGGTCAGCGGGCGCCCGTAGGCGCCGCGGCTCTGGGCGGCGCTGAGGTGCACCGTGGTGCAGGGTGCAGCCTGGGCGGCTAGCAGCGCGAGGTGGGTCATGGTCAGAGGGGGTGGCAGGACAAATAGCCAACAGGCAACCAACAAAAGAATCGGGTGTGGCTCAAAACTAAACGGCTGGGGCTCCGCAGGTTTTAGTCTACCTTTCCATTTGCTAGGGTTCCATTTTGGACGCCACACCCAATTCAGAACAACCCCACATGGCTTCGTAAAGAAACCGCCAACCAGGCTCCCTCGAAAAAACCCTCTCCCCACTCAACCGCCGTCCCTTCATCTCGGCCGCGGCGCCACGGGGGGCCACGCCATCAGAATGGCCTCGGGCGCCGTCGCGGAGCCGCCTGCAATGGGGCTGTCTAGATATCACGTTCCCGGCCTTGGCCGTGGTGATGTGTACTGGGACAAGTAAGTACAAGCTACAGATGTCCGGGTGCATTTCCCTTCACCATGTATTTGCTAGAATCCTTGGGAGTTCTTAATGGCTTCCACAACGGTTCTACAACCATCTGCATCAGGGCAGTTGCCCCTTTTAGTCCCTTCCTTGAAAATTAAAAGAAACATCAGGGAGCCCTAGTTTTTGAGAAACACCAACAGGGTTCCCTGGGTAGTTCTTGATTGCTTCCAAAGCTATTTCTACAAGCATCTGTGAATTTACCATATGTCCAAACCTGAAACAAGGGACTGCCAACTAAAGGACTAGCATGTTGAGCTCGTTCACCCCACATGTGAGATCGACTGGCAAATACCCGGTGGTGTCCGATTTGTTCATTTTGGACGCAAATACCACGAAGTTCCGAAAAGGGACACCCACGCACTTCAGTCCTTGCAAATCAAATGGGCCGTTTTTTAATTGCTTCGTACCATGGAGCTGCTTAGCTCACTTCCGATCGAGTCGATTGGTCGTAACGCTTTGTTTATCACTAACAGGGCCCAGACCCAAAAAGTTGCCAAAGTCCGAAACAGAACTCAGGAAGTGCAAAGCAGGGAAGTCTGAACAAGTCTAGTAGTTTCCCTCAAAACAATCAGAGTTTGGGGAGAGGGCTTGGTGGACAAAACAAAAAACGCTCGGATCCCCTCGAAGCGTTTTAACCACCCGTTGGTTTTGTTTTTTTCTCGAGGCTTTTTCATTTCTCAGCTGCCGAGAACGATTTCACCAGCAAGAAATCCCACCACCGCGGCCGCTCGAATCGAATCCATGCCTTCCACGAGGCCCGAGAGCTCTGGCGCCGGGGGGTCTGCCGACGCGGCGGTGGCCTCGCGCGCCGAAGCGAACCGACCTTTTACCCAGTCCCTGGGTTTTTCTGGACGTGAAGCTTTTTGGGGCTTGGGTGCCATTCTGGGGGGTAATCCAACGGCTACTTTCGTGGATCCCAATCCAAAAAGTGAGTTGAGTGTCTCCCGTGTTGGGCTCCCATTCGTAGCGCCTAGCCTTCGAAGCCTGGGTCCTCCACAACCGCAAGGGAACCCCAAACCCAACCCAAAACATTCCAATACTTTTCAAGGTTTCTGAAATGGACAGGAAGCCTTGGCTCATGGGAACCGAAAGGACAAATTCCAAATCCAACCATTCCACAAACAAAACACGCGTAACACGTGGAGCCCAACATCCAAGTGGCCCGTGCCGTGTTGCCTGTTTGATGCCAAGTGATCTGATGTTTCATGTAGGTTTTGGTTTCTTGCCCGTTCTTCATCTTCACACACACACACAACAACCCTGACTTAGTAAATAGGTTACGGCCATGTTACACAGAAACTAACCCCTGCCTCAGTGATGATCATGGTACTGAAGTTATACCCCTTCACATTGAGATTCACTAAGTGGGTTGAACATCCAAGTGCACAACCATCTGCAAGGTGCTTGATCAAAAGCTGAATTCAGGGATCTTCAAGTAAAGGATCTTTGCCATGGTGAGCTCCTTTTACCCCCGACACGGTGAGCTCGCCATAAATTCTGCAGAACCAACTTCCATTTTCTTAAGCTCCCTGGAAGAAATGTTTTCAGTAGTGACAGATTCCTTTTAAACCACCAGGCGAAAATAACACATGGCTGTGAGTCAAAAATAGGGGCCCAAAAATGGAACCCTGGTAAATCGAAAAGTAGACTAAAACCTGCGTATATAACCCTGGATCTTTATTTTTGAGCCACACCCACATATTCCTTCCGGCAAATGGAAGCACACAACCATGCCATTGCTGTTTCTTTCCAGGGTGCCACCAGCACAGATGGCAATGTGGCGACGGTATCGTTCACGCTGAGGCTGGGCTGGTCGCCCAGTAAAACCTGTCGAGCAGGTCCTATGTTTGCTGTGTGTTAAATTGAGGTCTGGGACAAATCCGTTTACAAGCACCTTTCGCACCCGGGCCCTGAGAGGAGGTAAAACAAAAAGGTCAGGGGACGTCACAAGATTGGCCTACAGCGTGCTTTTGGAGGTTTGGCTTCACCTCCTGCCCAAGGGGGTCGTCCCTTTGACCTTTGGTTTGGGCCACTTTGGGACGCATCCACTTTCAGTGGCTTAAACACATCATGTCAACCTTCTCCCAAATGCAAAGCGAGAGGAAAACCTGTTACTCCCCTCCCATAGCAAGGCCGGCCGCAGCCAAGTGCCAGTTCCCCTGACGTCAAAGGTCTTTAACTAGATTGTGTGTGTCAATGTATCGGTAGTGTTGTTTTGTTAAAAGTTCAGTAGGTGCCATTAATGCTCTTTGCGTGTTATGTTGTTCGGGAAGGTCGCAAAACCCGAGACATCCCTGGTCGAGCTTCTTGAAAACCACAGCAATTGGGTCCTTGAGGGCGGGCACGTGCCGTCAGCGTTTTCGCAATGCCATGGCAGTTTGAACCGCAAGAATGTGTACGTGTCATTCTTCATAATGATGACAAGAAAAGGTTCCAATTCCACACTTCCCGAGTGGATGGTCCAAACAAATATATTTACACTTTCGGTAAACCAAAAAGGTCTTCCCAAGAAGTGACCAAAGTCCGAAACGGAACTTGGGAAGTGAGAAATTATTTCGCCCTTCTCGAAGCCCGAGAGCGGCAAAGCAAGCGGCAATGGGAACAACCCTTGGCAGTGGGTCAATAAAAAGGTACGGAAAACAGGACAGCTGGTAAATGGAAACATGGACCAAAATCCGCAGTCCTCTGGTTTCATGTTGACCCATACCACTTGAATGCCCCTTATGGCGTTATGGGACCCCCCCCAAATAATTATCAAGCAGGTTCATAAATCCTGGGCTCTCAGCAAGCCGCCCGTCCCAAGAGCAACTTGGTACTCCCCAGTTTGACATTTAAACAAAACTCCCCAAGTATCCAGATTTTACTAGCACAGGGAAGACTTCGGCTTCCAACTTCCCAAGCGCTGCAAATTACTTCTATAGTAGGTGGAGGGTTGGGGTGCGGTGGGGGGTTGGGGTGGGGGGAGATGCTAACGTTCGTTCACACCGCGACTGCGCGCACAAGCACACACCAGCCGTGCGCACAAATGCACATACGGGCATTTGAAGCGCGCACACGCACATACGCAAACGAAAAGCTATGCGAGCAACTTGCACATGTCTCAGGCTCAGGCGGGTTGCTTCCTGTAGTGAACTTACCCCTAGCTTACGTGCTTCTCTTGCGGACACGCCATGCTCCCTTGCCTGATGGTTTTACTTGCCCGTTAGACGCTTCTTCCTCTGCCTGGGCCGAGCTAGATCTCCAGGATGCAATTCGTGGCAGAAACAACGCTCTCCGAGTTCCGTTTCTGGTTTCAGTGGTCATTACTCAAAGACTCTTGCTCCAGCCTGCCAAGCGTGCCCCAAAGTGCTCCAAGACTTAGAAACCAAGAGAACGACTTCTTGGCATGAAACTTGGTTGCTGTTGACCCCCCTGCAAAAAAGAATTACGTTTTGGTGGTTTAATGGAAAACACCTTTATTTTCCAAAAAGTGAAAGTCTAAAGATCCAACCCAACAGCAGTCAAGGAAAGCCAGAACCGCAATGAGTTTTGCCAGGACATCTGCACGGGCAGAACACTCGTTCTCCCGCGCATGTTTTTAGATGCCTTTGTTCCCCGAAGCGCCCGAGCTAATGTTGACCCCATATTAATCTAGCAAAGTTTATTCATAGGAAGGTCTCCATGGGTTTGTTGGGGAATCATCACTTTTAGAGGGGAACACCCCCTCTATTGATAAATTGGGGTTGGTTTATATGCATTTCGGGGGGCAGCGCCTCGAGAAAAAGCTTCCCAAAAACATCCATGCTTTTGTTAGAGAGCCAACCTGACGGTGGGTTCAGACAGTACGGAGGTAAAACTTACCTGAGTCTGCTGACATGCACAGAGCTTGCAACTACTTGGTGCGAGCAAGCAAGCGACTCAAGCTGCCCGGAGCTGGGAAAGTTGCGAAAACACAGCGTTTTTCACAGCGGCTGAAACATCCCCAACAAGGGCAAGTATCAACATGTGACCCAGTAGGTAGCCAGGCGAATCCATCATGTAGCACCTACAGGTAGAAAAAAACAATCCTGGTGATGAAGATACCTTGTTATACTTAGCTACTATAGTGGTAATGTTAACCCCAAATTAATAAACCCCTGGTTGATTTATAGGGGGTGTCCCCTTTTAGTGGGGATTCAGACCACTTTTGGAGGGAGCACCCCCCTAATAATGGGACGGTTCTACTTAGATCCTGGGTCAACATTAGCCGGGAGCGTTGGGTGTGATACCCGGAAGCATCGCCCCCATCTGGCCTCCAATACGGCCCCAGACTGCAGCCAGCGGCAGGAGGGCAAGCGACCCATCCTGCCACCACAGGTAGAAAGCCACGGAACCATAGGTTGCCTTTTGGAGAAATAGATGGCCCTGGTAAATGAAACAAAACCCTTCTAAACCAGTGCCATCAATTTTTAACCAGGCTCACCTAACAAGGACACCTATGCACGGAACTGTCCACGGGGGGAAAGGGGGCAGGAACAAGATGGAAAAGAACCAAAGAAACCCAGCTGAACAACTGGAAGCAACTGGGATGTAAAAAACTCTTGAGCTCTCATAGCACTAGGCGGGTTGCTGCATCTGATATCCAACTACCAAACGACTTCACGGATCTTCTTGCGGACTGGCGGACTCTGTATTCACCGAGCCGTGTCGGAAACTCAACAAATTTGTCACGTGCAGCACCGTGACGGCTCACTCACTTGCCCAAATGACCAAATAAAAGTTAACCTTTTGGGGCCATGACTAAGAATTGAAAAAAAAAAGAAGGCACAAGGTCACAAGGTTGATTCGTTTTGGACAAGTGAGCTCACCCACAAAATCACGAGTTGGCTGGCTCCCTTACAAACCCTATCGGCCGGAGACACTCCATATGCCCGAATGCCACTCAAACTTCCCGACAACGCGTTTTGTTTTGTTTAGCAGCTCGCCCCCGAAAAAAAAAAAAAAAAAAAAAAAAAAAAGGAAACACTGCTAAACATATTTCGATTTTGCGTTTGAAGGGCCACGCCAGACCCCCCCAAGCAAAACAAATGGAATTGAAAAATTACAAAACCCCCCTCCCCCCCCCCTCCCCCCCCCCCCTGTAAGAGGGAAGATCATACCCTATGTGTCGTTCAGGCTTGTTCCAGCTTTGAGTCAATTGTTGGAGTGAAATTCTAATTGTTGCATATTTGACGCTGGTTTCCCGAAATTGCAAGAATTATGGGAACCATTGGAATTCGACTCCAATAATTGCAATAATTTCAGGTCCCGGATTTTGCAATTATTGCAATAATTGCAATAATTTCAGGTCCTGGATTTTGCAATTATTGCAATTATTGGAATTGAATTCCAATAATTGCAATAATTGCAATAATTTCAGGTCCCGGATTTTGCAATTATTGCAATTATTGGAATTGAATTCCAAAAATTGCAAGAATTGCAATATTCGGAGGTCCCGGATTTTGCAATTATTGCAATTATTGGAATTAGTCGGCCCGGCTTTGAGGCCAAATCTGGGATCAATTAATTATTGCAATTATTGCAATTGTTGCAATTATTGCAATTATTGGAATTGAATTCCAATAATTGCAACAATTGCAATATTCGGAGGTCCCGGATTTTGCAATTATTGCAATTATTGGAATTGAATTCCAATAATTGCAATAATTGCAATAATTTCAGGTCCCGGATTTTGCAATTATTGCAATTATTGGAATTGAATTCCAATAATTGCAATAATTGCAGGCCCCGGATTTTGCAATTATTGCAATTATTGCAATTGAATTCCAATCATTTCAATAATTGCAATAATTTCAGGTCCCGGATTTTGCAATTCTTGCAATTATTGGAATTGAATTCCAATAATTGCAATAATTGCAATATTTTCAGGTCCCGGATTTTGCAATTATTGCAATTATTGGAATTCAATTCCACTAATTGCAATAGTTGCAATAATTTCAGGTCCCGGATTTTGCAATTATTGCAATTATTGGAATTGAGTTCCAATAATTGAAATACTTGCAATATTCGGAGGTCCCGGATTTTGCAACTATTGCAATTATTGGAATTAGTCGGCCCGGCTTTGAGGCCAAATCTGGGATCAGTTAATGATTGCAATTATTGCAATTATTGCAATTATTGCAATTATTGGAATTACAATTATACAATTATTGGAATTACATTCCAATAATTGCAATAATTGCAATAATTTCAGGTCCCGGATTGTGCAATTATTGCAATTATTGGAGTTCAATTGCAATGATTGCAATAATTGCAATAATTTCAGGTCCCTGATTTTGCAATTATTGCAATTATTGGAATTGAATTCCAATAATTGCAATAATTGCAATATTTTCAGGTCCCGGATTTTGCAATTATTGCAACTATTGGAATTGAATTCCAAAAATTGCAAGAATTGCAATATTCGGAGGTCCCGGATTTTGCAATTATTGCAATTATTGGAATTAGTCGGCCCGGCTTTGAGGCCAAATCTGGGATCAATTAATTATTGCAATTATTGCAATTATTGCAATTATTGCAATTATTGGAATTGAATTCCAATAATTGCAATAATTGCAAGAATATTCCCGGATTTTGCAATTATTGCAATTATTGGAATTGAATAATTGCAATAATTGCAATAATTTCAGGTCCCGGATTTTGCAATTATTGCAATTATTGGAATTCAATTCCAATATTTGCAATAATTGCAATAATTTCAGGTCCCGGATTTTGCAACTATTGCAATTCTTGGAATTCAATTCCAATAATTGCAATAATTGCAATAATTCCAGGTCCCGGATTTTGCAATTATTGCAATTATTGGAATTCAATTCCAATACTTGCAATAATTGCAAAAATTTCAGGTCCCGGATTTTGCAATTATTGCAATTATTGGAATTGAATTCTAATAATTGCAATAATTGCAATAATTTCAGGTCCCGGATTTTGCAATTATTGCAATTATTGGAATTGAATTCCAATAATTGCAATAATTGCAATATTTGGAGGTCCCGGATTTCGCAATTATTGCAATTATTGGAATTAATCGGCCCGGCTTTGAGGCCAAATCTGGGATCAATTTATTATTGCAATTATTGCAATTATTGCAATTATTGGAATTCAATTCCAATAATTGCAATAATTGCAATAATTTCAGGTCCCGGATTTTGCAATTATTGCAATTATTGGAGTTCAAATAATTGCAATAATTGCAATAATTTCAGGTCCCGGATTTTGCAATTAGTGCAATTATTGGAATTGAATTCCAATAATTGCAAGAATTACAATATTTTCAGGTCCCGGATTTTGCAATTATTGCAATTATTGGAATTGAATTCCAATAATTGCAATAATTGCAATAATTTCAGGTCCCGGAATTTGCAATTATTGCAATTATTGGAATTGAATTCCAATAGTTGCAATAATTGCAATATTCGGAGGTCCCGGATTTTGCAATTATTGGAATTAGTCGGCCCGGCTTTGAGGCCAAATCTGGGATCAATTAATTATTGCAATTATTGCAATTATTGCAATTATTGCAATTATTGGAATTGAATTCCAATAATTGCAATAATTGCAATAATTTCAGGTCCCGGATTTTGCAATTATTGCAAATATTGGAATTGAATTCCAATAATTGCAATAATTGCAATAATTGCAATATTCGGAGGTCCCATATTTTGCAATTATTGCAATTATTGGAATTGAATTCCAATAATTGCAATAATTGCAATAATTGCAATAATTGCAATAAGTAATTGATCCCAGATTTGGCCTCAAAGCCGACTAATTTCAATAATTGCAATAATTCCAAAATCCGGGACCTCCGAATATTGCAATTATTGCAATTATTGGAATTGAATTCCAATAATTGCAATAATTGCAATATTCGGAGGTCCCGGATTTTGCAATTATTGCAATTATTGGAATTGAATTCCAATAATTGCAATAATTGCAATAATTGCAATAATTGCAATAATTAATTGATCCCAGATTTGGCCTCAAAGCCGACTAATTCCAATAATTGCAAAAATTCAAAAATCCGGGACCTCCGAATATTGCAATTATTGCAAGTATTGGAATTGAATTCCAATAATTGCAATAATTGCAAAATCCGGGACCTGAAATTATTGCAATTATTGCAATTATTGGAATTCAATTCCAATAATTGCAAGAATTGCAAAATCCGGGACCTCCAATCATTGATTATTGCAATTATTGGAATTGAATTCCAATAATTGCAATAATTGCAAAATCCGGGACCTGACATTATTGCAATTATTGCAATTATTGGAATTCAATTCCAATAATTGCAATAATTGCAAAATCCGGGACCTCCGAATATTGCAATTATTGCAATTATTGGAATTGAATTCCAATAATTGTAATAATTGCAATAATTGCAATAATTGCGATAATTAATTGATCCCAGATTTGGCCTCAAAGCCGGGCCGACTAATCCCAATAATTGCAATAATTGCAAAATCCGGGACCTCCGAATATTGCAATTATTGCAATTATTGGAATCTAATTCCAATAATTGCAATAATTGCAAAATCCGCGACCTGAAATTATTGCAATTATTGCAATTATTGGAATTCAATTCCAATAATTGCAATATTTGCAAAATCCGGGACCTCCGAATATTGCAATTCTTGCAATTATTGGAATTGAGTTTCAATAATTGCAATAATTGCAAAATCCGGGACCTGAAATTATTGCAATTCTTGCAATTCTTGGAATTCAATTCCAATAATTGCAATAATTGCAAAATCCGGGACCCGAAATTATTGCAATTATTGCAATTATTGGAATTCAATTCCAATAATTGCAATAATTGCAATAATTGAATTAATTGTAATAATTGCAAGAATTAATTGATCCCAGATTTGGCCTCAAAGCCGGGCCGACTAATTCCAATAATTGCAATAATTCCAAAATCCGGGACCTCCGAATATTGCAATTATTGCAATTATTGGAATTGAATTCCAATAATTGCAATAATTGCAAAATCCGGGACCTGAAATTATTGCAATTATTGCAATTATTGGAATTGAATTCCAATAATTACAATGATTGCAATAATTGCAATAATTAATTGATCCCAGATTTGGCCTCAAAGCCGGGCCGACTAATTCCAATAATTGCAATAATTGCAAAATCCGGGACCTCCGAATATTGCAAGAATTGCAATTATTGGAATTCAATTCCAATAGTTGCAATAATTGCAAAATCCGGGACCTGAAATTATTGCAATTATTGCAATTATGAGAATTCAATTCCAATAATTGCAATAATTGCAAAATCCGGGACCTGAAATTATT